TCTCACTGTCTATAACTCTATCTGTCCAACACACACACGCACACACATTGAGAATTCCTGGGATGGTGGTTATTTCCTCCCAGGCTTGAGGAAGGGGACAGCACGGCAGGAAGTGACCGAGAAATCACACCGTCGCGACATGCCATCAGGCGCAGGACAGTCACCTCCCCAGCTGGCTTCCAGGATGGCTGGGGCGGTGGGTGCAGGCGCCGTCCCGAGAGACTGGGGGCCTCCACCGGCCGTGCTGGCCCCTAGCGGGCTCCTCGGGAACTGCAGGAGAGACCGATCCGCCGGGGTCTGGGGGCTTCGGGGCTTTGCAAGTGGAGCGGCGCGGCGGGGCGGGGGGGGGGGGGGGGGGGGGAGGTGAGCGCCGCTCGCTTCGCCTTTTCTCTCTCCCAGGCCCACAGTCCCCAGAGTGCGGGGTTCCACCTCTGAGTTCCAGGGCTCCGTGGCCAGCGGGGGGCTGGCCGCGGGTCCCTGGCCTGCGTGGGCCTCTGAGAACCTTTGCTGATGATTCTAGCAGACCCCGGCCCCAGCAAACGCTGTCGCACTGAATCCGTTTTATTCCCACTGAATTTATTCTCGGCGACCTGCCTCGCTCTCCCTGACAGAATACTGCTTTTAGAATCTTCACTGGTTATATATTTAGCTTTGAAAATGGAATTGTAGAATCAGGTGGAATCAAAGGCAAACCTTAAGCACCTAGACCTGGGCGACACAACTCTGTGTGGGTTACAGGGGTACCACCGGCCAGCAAGCAAACCAGCAAGCACGGCCTGGAATGTTCTGGAACCTGTGGACGTGAAGATGGGGACAGAACTCGGAAACGCTCACGTCGAAGCTGTGCGCTCAACCATATGGCTCCGCGAAGCGACTGGGAGCGTTCAACAAACGGCGCGTGTTCAACACTCGCCCGGTAGGAGATGAGAACGCTCCCGGCGCGGGCCAGCCAGGACTGCCTTGGCCCGGTGGCTGGTTTTTGACCAACCTGAGGAAGTGCCATCGCGGCGTTTCTAAGCCTGGCTCCTAAGGAGCGTGTGGATTCCAGCTGGGGCACTGGAATCAGGCCCCGAGGCCGCCATGCTGTGAGGAAGCCCCAGCCGGCCGGGAGGCGCTGGACGCGGGAGGGAGGAAGCTCTCCTGGACGTCCAGCCCTGTGGAGGCCCCAGCCTGCGACTGTGAGAAAGACAGAAAGGGAACCGCCCAGCAGAGCCAGGTCAGCCCCTTGGGTATGGGTGAACCATCACGGGCTGGCCTCCAAGCCAGCAGGTTGCTTACACAGCAGAAGATAATAGGTGGTTTAACAGGCACACAGTTCCCTGGGGCAGACAGTGCTGTTCCCATTTAACAGATGGGAAAATAAAGCCCAGAGAGGGCTGTGACTCAGTGAACTTTATGGAGCCAGCCAGGCAGCAGTTGGGGTTGTTCTGTGATTTATTTGAGAGTGAGAGAGGGAGTGCGTGTTCTCATTGGCTGCTTCACTCCCCGGACGCCTGCAGCGACTGTGGGAGCCAGGAATTCGGTCCAGGCCTCCCACGTGGGTGGCAGGAGCCCAGGCGGCCGGGATTTGGGGCAGGCAGGTGTCTGCAATCCTCCTGTAGCCACTCCTGGCTGCCTGGGGCCATGACCGCATCTCGGGGTCAGCCGCGTGCCCCACCTGGCTCCCCAGGCGTTGGCCGCAGCTCTGCCTCGCTCTATTTTAAAGTAGGCGGTGGTTTGTTTTTCTATTGATTAGTGATCGTGACTCACAGTAAAACGCATAAAACCTAAGTACACGCCGTGCCACCCTGTATGTGCATACAGACCCACGTGACCACTACCCACATCAAGATACGAGACACTGGGCTGGCGTTGTGCCGTCGGGGGTTCAGCCAGCACTTGTGATGTTGGCATCTCACACCAGAGAGCTGGAGTCCGGCGGCCCGGCTTCTGAGCCAGCCCCCAGCTAATGCACCTGGGAAAGCAGAGAAGGGCTGATGTCCTTGGGCCTCTGCAACCCACATGGGAGACCTGGACGGAGCTCCCGGCTTCAAGCTGGCCAAGCCTTGGCTGTTGCAAGGCATCTGGGGAGTGAACCAGCAGATGGAAGTTCACTCTCTTTTGCTCTGCCTTTCAATAAATCATTGTTTAAAAATCATACAGAACATGTTTAAAGATGATTTATTTATTTATTTGAAAGGCAGAGTTACAGAGAGGGAGAGGTAGAGAGGGCTTCCTTCTGCTGGTTCACTCCCCAGTTGCCGCAACGGCCAGAGCTGGGCCGATCCAAAGCCAGGACCAGGAGCTTCCTCCGGGTCTCCCACGCGGGTGCAGGGGCCCAAGCACTTGGGCCATCCTCCGCTGCTTTCCCAGGCCATAGCAGAGAGCTGGATCGGAAGTGGAGCAGCCAGGACTAGAACCGGTGCCCATATGGGATGCCAGCGCCGCAGGTGGTGGCTTTACCTGCATTGCCATAGCACCGGCCCCCTGACAATTCTGGCACCACAAAGTTGTCTTGTGCCGCTGCCAGGCAAGTCCCCCCCCCCCCCCCCGAGAGGCCCATTTCCCGGATGCTGACAATCCCCGTGGTGATCCTGCTTGCCCCCAGAAGCCGACAGCACGTGCTCGTGTGGCTGCAGTCCTGTCACTCAGTGGCAGGTGTGGGCTGCACCTGCGTGCCCACGTGCAGCAATCGTCCTCTTTAAATCGCCACCTGGGAGTCTCAGGCCTGCGTGTAACCAGGCTCTGCACGCACTCTGCTGGTGGACAACCCCGGTGTCCCCGCAGGCCGGCCACAGGGAACAGGGCTGATTTGACTGTGCCGGTTACCGTGTGCACTGCAGAGCCAGGCCGTGGGGTGGACGCAGGCCTAACCAGATAGGAAGCCACCAGGTCCCACAGCAGCCAGAAGGAAGCACGCTCCGGCCCTCCGCGTTGTCACTGACACGGACACGGCGCGGTCAGTCCGTCGCCCGTGAGCCACGCTGAGCAGGGGAGTGGGAGCGCCTCGTTTCAGTGGTGGACGGGGAGGCTGACCCACCCCGGGAGCGCCCTGGCACGTGCTGGCCCGGCTTCGGCCTCTGCAGGCACAGATGTCCCAGACCAGGTATGAGACACGGAGCCCGGACTCAGGCCGAGGCGGGAATGGAGGCAGAGGACGGGGCAGAAGCCGGAGAGCTGGGGGGGGAGGGGGCACAGGCTCCGGGCCCCACGATGCGGGTGCTGGGGCTGTGGCTGCAGACCTCCCGTCTCCGAGTTCTCCCATGAGACTGGACACCCCCGGGAAGGCAGCCCCGAGCCAGGGACATCTGATGGCCTAGGGGTCCTGGCTCTGTACCCTTTGTGCTCTGCCATTTCCAGTTTTTTTGATGAGGCAGGATGGCAGCAACATAGGGACTTAACCCAATTCCGTCCCCACACAGGGCTGGCAGCAGGTGCCTTGGCACCAGCATCCTCTCTGAACATGGGTTCGAGTCCCAGCTGCTCCACTTCCAACCCAGCTCCCTGCTATTGTGCCTGGGAGACAGTGTAAGATGGCCTGTGTGCCTGGGCCCTGGCCACCGACATGGGACACCTGGACGGAGTTCCTGGCGCCTGGCTCAGCGTGGCCCAGCCCTGGCTGTGGTGGCCATTTGGGGAGTGAACCAGTAGACATGAAATCTCTATTGTAGGGCCGGCGCCGCAGCTTAATAGGCTAATCCTCCGCCTGCGGCGCCGGCACACTGGGTTCTAGTCCCGGTTGCCCCTCTTCCAGGCCAGCTCTCTGCTGTGGCCAGGGAGTGCAGTGGAGGATGGCCCAAGTGCTTGGGCCCTGCACCCCATGGGAGACCAGGAGAAGCACCTGGCTCCTGGCTTCAGATCAGCGCAGTGCGCCGGCCGCCGCGGCCATTGGAGGGTGAACCAACAGCAAAGGAAGACCTTTCTCTCTCTGTCTCTCTCTCTCTCTCACTGTCTACTCTGCCTGTCAAAAAAAAAAAAAAAAAAAAAAAAAAAAAACCACAAAACCAAGATCTCTATTGTCTGCTTTCAAACAACTAACAAATATTTTTTAAAAAAATCCACCTTTTTTTTTTAAAATTATTTCTTTGAAAGGCAGCGTTAGAGAGAGAGGGAGAGGCAGAGACAGAGAGAGGTGTTCCATCCGCTGGTTCACTCCCCAAATGGCTCAACGGCCAGGACTGGGCCAGGCCAGGGCTCAGATCGGTGCCCATGGGGATGCCAGTGTCACGAGCAGTGGCTTTACCTGTGGAGCCACCACACCGGCCCTGATGTCCCCTTTAAGGGCAGGAGAGGCTCTATGACCGGCCCTGCCTACCAGACTCGCTGCACCCTCATTAGCCGGAGCCACATCGCGCTCCCGGGCTGACCACCCGCGGCCACGGCCACGGGAACAGAAGCACTTTCTCCACCAGTGCTGAGGGCACCCCTCCCTCCCCCGGGCACCGACTCCCGACCCCCCCCCCCCGCTTGGAATCCCCTTCCCAATCCTCCCACTCAGAAAGCCCCATCTCCTCCACACACAGGCGGAGTCGGGGTCTCCTCGGGGTCCCCAGAGCCTCCTGGGCCTGTGACCAGCACAGCCGGCCGCGATGAGGACACCCAGGCCCCGCACACGCTGCCCCGGGCCCCTCTCAGGCCATGGCACCACTTCTGGGCATGGTCTCCACACAGGGCCCATTTGATGGAGAAGCAAACGGAGTCTGGGAGGGGACATGGCTTGCCCAAGGTCACCATCAGAGCGATGTCCCCAGCCCTCTTTCCAAGGCCTGGGCCCAGTGCCCCGGCTCTCCAGGGGGCCTGTCCACGTGCGGATTCCAATTCGGGAGGACCTGGGCCTGGCGTTTCTCCCACGCTTCCTGCCACTGCTGTGCCTGCCGGCGTCCCTGCCTGCCAGTGGAGGACCCGGCTTCTCAGCTCCGCCCTCAGCCCAGGCTCAGGATGGGCCGAGGCCCTGCTGGGGTGCAGGAGCGGAAGCAACTCCATCCGCCACCACGCGCCCTGCCCAGCCATCCAGACACAGAGCTGTCAGGACGTTTTATTACGTGAACAAAGACCCCAGGACCCGGGGAGAGGCCTTCATGGGCGGGGCCCGCGGCTCCACGCCCTGCACCCCCAGGGGAAGTGGCGGGGGTGGGGGGCAGTGGCTGCCTCCCTCTGTCCAGATGTCCCTCAGTGAGTCCCAAGGGGCGGGTCCACCAGGACAGGAAGTAGTTAGTAGGAGGTAGGGTAGGAAGAGGGGCGCTGGCCCCACCTCTGCCACCTGTCAACTCGCATGGCCGCTGCCTGGGCCTCCCAGAGACCCTTGGGTCAGGGCCATGAGCCAGAAGCCCAAGCGAGGAGTGAGGAGACAGAGGGGACCAGCGATGGAGGCACACAGCCACCAGGAATGGCTTTTTTAAAAAGTATAAAGTGTTTCTGGGAAATAAAAGGGAGAAAAATCTATATAAAAATCTCTTCACATATAAAATCCTGGAGAAGGTGCAAGGTAAAACCCAGTGCGAGGGCGCGCTCAGATACGCAGTGTGTGCATGTGTGTGTGTGCGTGTGTGTGTGTGTGAGACAGCTGTGAGTGCACGTGCGGCCCACAGGTGGCGAGGAAGGCTTGGCTTCCGACTTCCACCCCGCGGGAGGGCGGGCGGGTGGCGGCCGGGCCTCGGGCTGCAGGGTCTACAGCTGAGCTGGAGCACAGGACCTGCAAGACAGGGGAGGGCGCCGGGGCTGGAGAGGCCAGGCCGGGCCAGCGGGTCCCTCCCCCCCCTTCCCGCGGCCCAGAGGCTCCTCGCTGCTCCCCGACATCTGGGCCCACAGCTGGGCCGCTCTGTGTGCCTGAGGTTCGGCGGCCCCGGGACCTGGCAGCAGGAGGGGCTCCAGGGGACCTGGCTTGGGAAGGCACGGTGAGGGCAGGGGGCTGGCAGCAGTCAGGGCGCCTGCGTCCCCCGTGGGGCGCCTGGCTCAGCTTCCTGCTCAGAGCGCATGCCGGGGAGCCATGACAACGGCCCAGGCACTGTGGCAATCCTGCCACCAAGTGGGAGACCCAGCTCTCAGCCCTGGCCCCTGTGGGCACCTGGGAGTGAACCAGCACCCTGTGGGAACCAGCAGATGGGCTGTCCCTGCTCTCAGATAAATACAAAGCCAGTTCACACCCTGTGAACTCAGGAGCCACTGGGAGACTGCAGGGGTGTGTGTGGCGCTGGCGGGAGGGAGGCTGCGGTGGGCGACGGCGCACCACGGGCTGCTGGTGGCCAGGGGACCCCGCGCTGCACGCGCGGTTCAGGCGGCCAGGGCAGCCCCCACGCCCGCGCCGGCCCCACCTCACTCGGCCAGGCTGCCGCGGGCCGCCTCCTTCTCCCGCAGGGCGGCCATGGCGAGGCGCAGGTGCTCCTTCAGCTGCTCGATCTCCCGCTCCGACCGCGTCTTGATGTGGTTCAGCTCCACGTACACGTCCTGGTACTTCCCTGAGGTGAAGCGCTTGTCCTGGGGGCGGGGCGGGGACTGTGACAGAACCCCGCCCAGGCTCCGCCCCCCTGCTCCCTGCTGCCCGCACAGGACCCCCAGGGCCCCTACTTCAGCCTCCAGGAGGCCCACCGGAAGTGCCCCCCCGCCTTTCCTCTCCTCGGGGTCGGGGTCGGGGTCGGGTGGAGGTTTAGGGAGGCAAAGGTTGTTCCACGGCCACAGGGAACGGCCACGGCCTGGCTGGGATCAGCACCGGGTCAGCCAAGCCCAGGGCTTGGGCCCTCTCCCATGGTGCTGGCTCCTCACTCCCACAGAGCCACCAAACTGGCAGAGGGTCCCAGTGCAGGGACACTGCGGCCAGGGGGCCAGGCACGGACTGGGACCTGGGTTGAATCCGGCCCTCCCACCTCTTAGCAACGAGGCTGGCTGCTGAGGGGAGCATGCAGGCCACCGTGTGTTACCTAGGACGCTGCCTGGCACCCAGGAGGTGCTTCCTAAATACATAAAATGATGCCGAATCAAAGCACACGTGGTCCTGAACAAGCCCCTCCCCCTTTCCCGGCCTCGGCTCCCTTGTCTGTGGATAGGGATGGCACCCCCCAAGGTGAGGCAGGCAACTCCCCGGCCCCGCCCCCACCCCATACACCTGCTGCAGCGTCTGCAGCTCCTTCTTCAGGTACCCCGGCCCCGCCCCCGGCCAGGCCCCGCCCCCACGCACCTGCTGCAGCGTCTGCAGCTCGTCCCGCAGGCACTGCACCTCCTTCTTCAGGTACTGGAGCTCCTTCTCCTTCACGCGCAGCAGCACCTGCGGTCACGGGGGCCAGGCTGACCCGGGCCAGAGGCCAGAGGCACCCTGGGACCTGGCTGCGCCCCTGCCTGGGGCCCCGGGACGCACCCCGGACCTGCACAAACACTGCTTTCCAGAGGCAGGCTCCTCCAGGAAGCCCACTCCGATTCTCCACTTCCCTTACCTCACCCCTCACCTGCCCACACCTTAAGAGTGGGCATCCCAGCGCCAACCCCAGCGCAGCCCAGCGCAGCCCCAGGCCCTCGGTGGGGGGACGAGGAGGACGTCGGAGCCTGACAGGAACCACAGTGGACTGGGCCTCCTCCCTTGCCGCCCCCACCCCGAGGGCAGATGTGGCTGATGCGATGGGCCTGGAAGCTGAGGCCACGCCCACCACGCCTTGACTGCCCTGCAGCCGGTGTCCATGGGAACAGCACTGAACTCGTGGGGCTGTGGGGGAGGCGGGAGACAGACAGGAAGGGCTTCCAGGTGTTCCAGCCTTATGGGGTGGGGGTCCTGCAGAGGCGACCCCAGGGCGATCCGGGGACCACACGCACACGTCCCCACTCTGGCCTCTCCCAGCCGAGGAGGTGCAGGCCCATTTGACAGATCCCAAAGGTGGGGTCACTCGCAGGGTCACCGAGCGGGCAGGTGACGGGGCGGGGGCAGGTGGAGGGGCTGTGTGCTGGCTGCGGGCGCACAGCAGGTGCTCTGACTTAGGAAAGTCGGCCTTCCCGGCTGGGCCCAGCCCCTGGAGACCCGGCGCCCCCCACCGCGGCGTGACCCCCCCCCCCCAGAAGGCAGGCTCCCGGCCCGAGGGCAGCGTGCTCACCTCCAGCTCACAGGAGCTCCGCTCATTGCGCCCAGAACCGCCGGCGCCCTGGGAGGCGATGAAGCCCCGCAGCCGGTCGATCTCCTCCGACAGCCGGGAGTGCAGCTCCTGGGGGGCGGCGTGGTCAGGGCGGGGGCTCCAGGCCGCCCCGCCCCCCGGCCGCGCCCAGGCCCACCTGGTTGTGGCGCAGCAGCTCCTGGCCCTCCTGCTGGCAGCGCCGCAGCGTGTGCTCGCGCTCCTCGGCCTGCCGCGTCAGCGCGCCGATCTCCAGGCACTTCTGCGAGTACTGCTCCGACAGCACCTGCAGCTCCCGCTTCAGCGCCTCCACGTCCGACCTGGCCAGTGCGGCACAGCGACAGGGTGGCTGGGGCTCTGCCCTGTGCCCGGCTGGAGGCCCTCCTGAGTCTGCCCTCAGCTGCTGTGTGGTGACATCTCCTCTACGGGGCGTGGGCTCAGGCCTCGCCTTCCAGAACCGGGCCCCGTGGCAGGGAGACCCCTGCTGGTGGAGAGTGACACTGCAGCCCAGCTCTAGGGGACACGAAGGCGGGGAAGCGGTAGAGGCCGAGACCAGCGGAGCCCAGGGGCCTGAGAAGTGTCTACGAGGCCCGGCCCGGGTCTGCCTGAGCCCCGATTCCAGGGCGCCGAAGTGCAACTCTTCCACTGAGAGCAAATCAGTGTGTCCCCGCCGGCACAGCCCACAGACCCCAGGGCCCAGCCGCCGTCTTACTGGTGCTGTTTCCGGAGGCCATCGGGGCCCTGCTGGAGACACCGCGTTTTGCTCAGCTCCCGGCTCAGCTCTTCCTGGTAGGCCTTCTTCATGGCTTCAATGGCTGGAAGCAGGGCAGAGGGGAGGGGACAGGACGGGGTGAGCAGCAGCTGGCTGCGCTCCCGAGACGCCACGGGCACCGGCGGAGAGGGCCAGGCGGTGGGGTGCAAACAGCTGTGGGCTCCTGGCCGTGAACTGACCCCTCTGAGCCTGTCTGTCCCGGGAGGCTCCGACAGATCCTGCTGGGGACACACTTCAGCCTCTGCCGCTGGTGGGCCTTGTTGGCAGTGACTTCTGGGGACACTGCCACAGGGTGTGTGGAGTCTGCGAAGCCCAGCAGGCTCTGTGACAAGGCCCACCTGCTGTGCCCAGCCGCACGGTCCAGAGCACAGGCTCTGGGGGTGTCAGGTGACACCCCCACGTGGCCTTGGGTCCCGTCTCTGGAGACTGGGGACAACAGTGACATCTTCCCTCCAGGGGTCACTGCAAGATGTGTGCCGGGCCCACGGAACAAGGCCAGCATGCAGCCCAGAGGCTCCGTCTCTGCCTGCGGGCTCCCGAGGGCCGAGTGCACTCTCACACGTACACAGCGTTGTCGTGGGGGTTACACAGGACCCCTCCAGGTTTCCCCTCGCTCTTTTGGGGGTAAACCCCAGCAGGAGGCGCATGAAACTGTCCCTAGGTGGGACTGCCAACCATGTCAGTGCAGGAAGCTCCCTGTGAGACGCCAGGGTGAAGTCTGATACTGGGGGGGGGGGGGGCTCTAACACGGTGGGAGGGCTGCACTGGGCAGTCTTCCCAGCATGCAGAACCCCCGCTGGCCTCCGGGGGGCGCTGGCAGGGCACTGGCAGGCTGGAGGCTCCTGACCGTGGGTCTCTCCTGGCTTTCCCCTCAGCAGCAGGTCTGCAGCCCAGGGGAGCAGAGGGTGGGGTTCAGAGCGGGCTTTGTAATTGTGCTCTGGGCTCCAGCCCCGCTCTGCCACCTCTAAGTGGAGCCATCTGGGACGAGTCACCGACCCCTGGGAGCCATCTCACCCGTGAAATGGGGCCACCCTCTGGCCACCCCAAGGACTAGGGGCCCCCCTGCAGGGAAGACGCGGGGCACAGGGCCTGGCACGCAGTGGGCTCGGGCCATGCCCCCATCTTCCCCACTCCCCCAGGGAGAGGGCACCCTAAGAGGGCAGGTCTGCAGCTGGTCCCTCTGCCCCAGCGTGGGGGCCCCGTGGCCTGAGGGGACCTCCCAGTGGCCACAGGCCTCTGAGGGAGAAAGCTCAACCCCGGTGGTGGCAGTAGCCGGGGGGGGGGGTGTCTGCGGACTCAGTTTCCCCTTTTCAAATAGCAGCAGAGGCCAGCTCTGGGGGCTCCCAGCTCCTCCTGACCGCTTGCCCAGGGCCAAGCCCACTGCGCCCCGCCCGGGCCTCACCTGAGGCCGTGGCCGCCGTCTCCTCGGCCAGGAGCCACTCCTTCTCCTGCTGCAGCCGCTGCAGCTCCCGCTCGTGGTGCCGCTGCAGCTCCTCCATCACCTGCTGGTGCGAGGACTCCATCTGCGCCAGGCTGCGCTCACACGCCTCCTGCGGGCCACAGGCCGGCCGGTCACGGTCACGGGCTCCCAGGGAGGACCCTGAGGCCACCTCACAGTTGCAAACCAACTCACGGCGAGCTCACGCCTGAGCGTCAGCCATGCCGTTCCCACTGCCTGGAACGTTCCATCGCAACCTTCTCCCTCTGGGCAATTCGCCTGGCCAGCAGCCCGATGGACAGACAGCCCGGCTCTGCCCCAGGCAGCCTCTCCCTGCCTCCTACGGTTCTGCTCCTGCCACACCCTAAGCCCCTGAGGGCCTGGAATATAGGAGCCAGCCGGACCCCGGCGTCTGGGCCAGGGCCCAGCGCGTGGCAGGACTCAGTGAGCTGGGAGCGATGGTTTGTTCCAAGCGCGGGCTCTGCTGGCAGCGTCCACAAGGCCGCCAACCCCGCGCTGCGCCAGAGAGGCAGCATCACCACATCTCTAACCATTCACCCCCTGACCCAGCAGGTCCGGTCCACGCCCAGGACTGACCCACAGGTGGTCACACGGGTTCCGAGACTCGGATGCGGTTACTGCTTGCGGCACAGTGGGACAACAAGCTAAGCGTCTAACCGAGGGGCCTTAAATGGTTGACGGGATTGTCACAGAAGTGCCCAGGCAGCTGTGAAGTCACGGGGCAGGCGTTGTGGCACAGCAGGGGAAACCGCGGCCTGGGGCACCCGCAGCCCATGTCAGAGCACCGGTTCAAGTCCTGGCTGCTCAGCTTCTGATCCAGCTTCCTGCTAATGTGCCCGGGGAAGGCGGCAGACGATGGCCCGAGGACTTGAGTCCCTGCCGCCCACACGCGAGACCTGGATGCAGTGGCAGGCTCCTGGCTTTGGTCTGGACCAGCTCTGGCTGTTGTGGCCATCTGGGGAGTGGACCAGTGGATGGAAGACCTCTCTGTCTCTGTCACTCAGCCTTTCAAATAAGCCTCAAAACACAGAATTGCCCGTGTGCACAGCCGTGGGAAGGCTGACTCCTGGCGACACGTGTGGGGCGCACTCATCGTGGGAGATCACACGTCTCCATACGTGCTCGCTTCTTCCAGTCTTCATTTATTTAAAGGCTGAGGCGCAGACAGGAAGACACCTCCCATCTGCTGGCTCACTCAAGGGCCTCAACAGCCAGGGCCGAGCAAGGCCCAAAGCCAGGGGCCCGGAACCCAGTCCAGGTCTCTCACGTGGGTGGCAGGCACCCAAGTCCTTGAGCCATCGCCTCTGCCTTCCCAGAATGCACAGCAGGACGCTGGCACTGGCAGCAGCCGGGCACTGAGCGGGGCGGAGTTGTCGCAGGCAGCCTCCTCAGTGCCGAATGCCGCCTCCCCGACTCGGCGCGTGTTCGCAAAAGCACAGAAAACGCTGCGGAAGGAAATGGGGGCCGAGTATCAGCCCCCAAAGACCCCCACGTCCTGTCCCCGGGACCCGCGACTGTTACGCGGTCAAAGCTGCAGAGGAAATGAAGGCTCCCCATCAGTGGGCCTGAAAGTCGGGGCTCAGCCCAGCGCGTCCAGGAGTCCAACGTGACACCAAGGGGCCTCGAAAGTGGACCCGGGGCAGAAGAGTCGGGGGGACCCGGAGGGAGGGTCAGAGGGCTGGGAAGGGCAAAGAACTGACTTCCTTCTGATGGCTCTGAGCCTAGAAGGCCGGGAAGAGACACCCCCCCCCCACCGCGGCCTGCAGAGGGCATCGGAAGACACCCACGAGACAGCGGGGGGGGGGGGGGGACTGCGCGTCACCAGGCCTAGGCCACTGCCCGTGTTCCTCTGTGACTGCAGCCGCGGGAACCCCACGCAGACCCACGCAGACCTGCTGCAGCCACTGCCACGAGCCTGGTGTGCATTTCTGACCTGCTGAGTCTGAACCACTGAAAAAACCTAAGTGTGTCTTATATGACTTAAAAATACTTAAGCTGGGGCCGGCACCGTGGTGCAGCAGGTTAATGCCCTGGCCTGCAGTGCCAGCATCCCATGTGGGCGCCGGTTTGAGATCCGGCTGCTCCACTTCCAATCCAGCTCTCTGCTGTGGCCTGGGAAAGCAGTAGAAAATGGTCCAAGTCCTTGGGCCCCTGCACCCATGTGGGAGACCTGGAAGAATCTCCTGGCTCCTGGCTTCAGACTGGCACAGCTCCAGCTGCTGTGGCCATTTGGGGAGTGAACCAGCGGATGGAAGCTCTCTCTCTCTCTCTCTCTCCTCTCCTCTCTCTGTGTAACTCTGACTTGCAAATAAATAAATCTAAAAAAATTAAAAAAAATACTTAAGCTACCAAGAAGGGGAAGGGAAGAGACAGGGGAGAAACTGAGGCAGAGGGTGGGAGACGCGGCCCCGCCTCTCCAGCAGCCAGTCTGGGGGAGAAGGGCCGGCTTCTGTGTCTGTCCCTGCTGGGGACAGCAGCGGACACTGGGCCTCCTCCGGCTGCACCCAGGCATGCAGGCAGCCCCGCCCCTGCCTTTTCTGAGCTCAGCCCAGCATCTGTGAGACAGAGGGAAAGCCAGCACCCGCCTGTGGTGAGCCCAGCACTGTTCTTAAAGGGCCAGACCAGGCAGGCAGAGCTGGCAGCTCGCAGGGGTGCAGGGCTGGTCAGGAGGTGGGAGCCACCTGTGAACAGCGGCTCCTGGAAGGCCAGGTGCTGCTCTCCGCCACAGGTGTCCTGACACTGGTTGAAGGAGTGCCTGTGGCACCCCTGCAATAGGCTGGCGGTCCCCTTGGCCCGGGGAGGCATGGAAGTCCCAGCAGTGGCCCCAGCGGCAAGCTCTCCAGCTCTGGGACCTCAGCCACCGCCCCCCCCCACCCCCCCACCCCGTGCCTGAGGGAGTTACAGGGGACTCAGCCCCACCCCACAGACCACGACTCCACCCTCGTCTGATTATTCCCTGCACACACCCCACCCTCCCCTCGCACCTGCAACCCAGCAGGTCAAGGGCCATCAGCCTGTGCAGTGCCCAGGGGGGCACCTGGAGTCCAGCCACAGGTCTGCCCGCAGCTCAGAGGGCACAGCCCCCTCTGTGCCTCAGTTTCTCCACCCATAGCCTGAAAGCCTAGAGCAGCACTTCTCAAACTTTATTTCAGCGGCAGAAATCTTTTCCTAGAAATTTAGAGCAGGTTCTAAGAACACAAGGGACAAAGAGCTGATCTGACGACGGGTGGTGCGAAGGGACCCACACGGTGCCCCCGGCTCACCCTCCCGCCCCAGGACAGGCCTCGAGGTCTTCCCAGCTACCCCTCCCAGCCCAAGGAAGGCTTGGCCCACGTCACTCCCCCCTCCTCGCCTCCCCAAGCCCAGGTGACCCCGGTCAGCCCTCCACACCAGACCCCAGCGCCTCCCGCCCCGGGACCCTCCAGCTGAACTCCCACCACCCCCTCAGCCCGAGACGGCCCCTGGTCTTGCAGTCCCCGCTCAGGGCCCCTGCAGGCTGCCTGCTGCCTTCCTCGATCCTCCTCCCCGTTACGCCTGCCTCGCCCCCTCCAAAGCTGTTTCCTCCACCATCGCCATCAGACCCCACACCGCCTACAGGCTGTGGCCCGGACCCCTCTCCCCAGGTGGCACTGGAGACCCCACAAAGGGCCCCATGCCCGGGCCAACGTCCCCACCCACATGCCCCTGCTCGGCTCAGCTCTGCCCCTCACGAAGCCACCTGAGATCCCGCACAGTGACCTCCCCCTGGAAACTTCTAGAAGGCGCCTCCTGCCCAGGCCTGGGAATCCAACACTCTTCTCCGCTCCAGGCAATGGTGTGCTGACTGCAGAGGGCTGACGGTGAGAGCTGTAGGGGTCTGGGACGGTTGTTAGGCACGGCCACTGCTTTAGTTGTTAGGCACGGCCACTGAGTTCATGTAGTTAACTAAAAAGGTCATATGGGCTGAATGGATCGCCTCCTATTTCTTTCACTGCCCTTGTCACTGTCTGTGCTCCTGGGTGGGGGGAGCTGCGTCTCTTCTATCTGCCCGCAGGAGACACGGGGCAGAGGGAGGGGTGCACACCTGCCCCCAGCCCCGTGCCGAGGGCCCCCACACTGGCCGCTTGACACCAGCCATCATGGAGGACCTGCAGCATGGATCTCGGTGAGCGTCATGAATCAGGGCTTTAGATTTATTGTTCTACTGATTCTCCAAACGCAGGCAAGCGATGACAAACGGGCTAAAGCCAACAACAGGCCGAACGCGGATGCGTCCTTTCTGTAACCGTCACACTGGACACAGGACACACAACCGCGCAAGTGCTCTCACGGGAGTATTTTCCGATCTGTCCACAGAAAGCTAGCATCCAGTCCAGCACACAAGCTGCTCACGACACTGACCAAGCAACAGTGTGTCTTCTCGTCTTCTTCATTAGCACACACAAAACCACCAGCCAACACACGCAGCAGGGCCACACACGTGTGGTAAGCAGCGGTGGGCACAAGAGTGCAGAGGCGGCGCCGAAAACATTTGAAGGAAAATGCACCTGCGATACGGGACTCAGTGAGAAGTACTTGTGTCTTTATTTCACAGTACACTTGTGTAAGCATCTGTGTGAGCACACACACACATGTATACACACGCATACATGCACACACACATGAACACAGCTGCACACATACACACGTGTACGCACACACAAGTACGTACACACATACATGCATGTGACGGCTGCACACACATACATGGATGCACACACATGCATACATACACACACAACTGCACATATAAACACATGCACACCCACATGCACATACACACAGCGCACACGCACACGCACACACGCAGGCGCACCCACTTTTCCTGGAGAACCAGTTGTCCCAGCTGTGACAACCAGGAGTGTTTCTATACACAGCAAGTGTGCTGGGGCACAAGACCCCCCAGCCGAGAACCGCCGTCCTAGGCCTCGCTGGGCCAGGAGCTGCCTGCATTTAGGGAGTGACTCCCGGGGCCAGTGGCTCCCCACTTCCCCAGGGTGGTGCAGGCGCAGTGTCACACAGGGACTCACACACGGGCTCTGCCGTCAGCTGGAGCCGGGCTCAAATCCCACCTCTGACACCTGCAGACCGGGTGACCTCAGGCAAGTCTCATAACCTCTCAGAGCTCAGTGGCCTGGTCTGTAAAATGGGCACAGTGATCATGCCCACCAGCTGTGGGGAGATGAAATGAGACGATGCACGTCAAATGCCTCACATGGTTCCAGCACACAGAACAGGCCCCGAGCCGCAGCTGCTTCCTAGCTGCACGGCAGCCAGAACCCTGCCCAACCCCGAGCCTCACCTGTGAGATGTAACCCGGGGGGATGGGGGCGTCCTCCTGGGATCGGGGCGGATTCTGAGGGGCCTCCCCTCGGAGACGCCAGGCCTCCAGCTGGGCACGGAGAGACTGGACCTAGGAGGAGAGGAGACCAGGTCAGGGGGCGCTGGACGCCGGCGGGGACAGGTGGCTGCGCGCCCAGCTCCCCAGGAGGCAAAGGAATGGTGCTGGGTTTGGGTGGGGCAGCAGCCCTGGGGGGAGGCACAGGCAGCGGGGGGGGGGGGGGGGGGCGGCGTTCCGGCTGTTCCCTGGGTATGCAGGTGTCAGCGACTGGGACAGGCTGGGAACGGCACAGAGCCCACAGCTATTGACATCCTGGGAGTCTTGGTTTTCCTTTTGGGAAACTGTGAGGCAGCGAGGCTGCTCCAGGAGACCGTGAGGCGGCCTGGGGACTTCGCAGGTCAAGGCTGGGTGTGCAGAAGACGCCCGACAAACGGAGCCCGCTCTCCCCACTTCCCCCTCTGCGGCCGAGGGCAGAAGAAAACAGAACAGAAGGCCAAGGTCCAGGAGAGACTCCGGTTCCCAAGGTGCCTGGGGTGCCAGACAGTGATCGGGGGAGCGCCCCGTCACAGGGGGGTGCAAGACCAGCGCCAGGGCGCCGTGCAGCAAGGGGGCTCCCGGAGGCCAGCCGTGACACCCACCTCCTTCTCCAGCGCTTCATGGCTGTCGCCCGGGGCCCCCCGGCGCTCCGCGCGGCTCTGGGTGAGCAGGGCCGTGAGCGGCACCCGCTTGTTCTCGCGCAGAGGCAGCTTCTCCAGCTCTTGCCACTTCTTCTCGATCTCCTCGCTGAGCCGGCTCTGCTGGTCCTCGGTCAGGGGGGCGCCCAGGCCCCTGCGGGGCCCCTCTCCCGTGGCCGTCTCTGGGGCCCTGCTGTCCGAGGCCTCAAACCATTTGCGCCGCTCCTCGGAGCGCTGAGCCAGGTCCCGCTCCAGCTCCTCCTGCTTGGCCGGGCGGTCGGAGGCGCGGGCCGGGGCGCGGGCCCGCTGCGGGGAGCCCTGGGTCAGCGGGGAGAGCTCCACGTAGTCCAGGGACTGCCGCTGCCCGTCCGCCTTGCGAGGGCCACCCCGCTGCTCCCCGGCCTTCAGCGAGCCCTTCTGGGTGGCAGGGCCGTGCAGCGTGTTCTCCTTATTGCAGTCTGAGAGCCTAGAGCCAGCAGAGCCTCGTCAGGCGGACCGGCCTGCTCAGCCCCACGGAGCACCTGCAGGGGACCAGCCGGGGACTAGGACCCACGCCAGGCCACCCCGGGAGGACGCCGGCCAGCCTAGAGGTGGACTCCAGCTTCACCGTTAGCAGAGCCCAGGGACATCCTGGCTGCACCATGCCCCTCCCGGCAGCGCCTCTCCCGGAGGAACGTGAGGGCTGGCTGAGCAAACGTGTGCACACGTGAGCCCTGTGCTGTCACAGAGGGTATGAGCTGGACGTGAACGAGACAAGGCCCTGGGTTCCAGAGGCTCGCGGAGGAAGGAGGTGTCCACGGTCACTGTGGGGGGGTGACATCAGGGACCCTGGGTGCACAGAGCTCGTGCTGTTGGGACTGGGAACGCATGTAGTGGTTCCTGTCCCCTCTTCCACAGTACTAGCTGGGACGTGTTCACGCAGCAAAACCCACGCTTCCCAGCAGCCCTGGCGCCACGTGTGGCCCTGGGAGCACGTTCTGCTCCCTTTAAAGGGCTGGGCTCCTGGCTGGCCCTCCAGGAGAGCCTGAGCCGTCCCGGTGACCTGGACTGCACACCTCCGGAGAGATAGACACCATCTCATTTAAACCATCCTGTCTGCTTTCTTCGCGGAAGCACCTGAGCTTATATGCTAACTGACAGTCCAAGCGCACAGCACTTCAGAAGTTCGCAAAGGCTCTGGGTGTCTCCGAGCACACATGCAGACGCCATGAGGAATCCGAAACTCAGACAATAAGGCCACTGGCACGGCTGAAGAGCCCGGGCACGGCCTGGCTGGGGAGTCACACCCAGCCCCGCGCCTGCTGCCCAGCAGCTGCGAGCCTCGCCCCCAGGGCCTCTCCTGCCGGGCAGCTCGGCCTCCTCTCCCTCTGCCAGGGCGGCCTCTAGAGCAGGTCCCCACCCATTTGGCTCGGACACAACCCCCGATGTCCAGGCAGAACAGCCGCCCTGAGGGGCCCTGGACGCAGAGCCGTGCCCCTTCCACCGTCAGAGGGGCGTGCGGGACAGTGGTGTAAGAGGATGGCCGGTCCAACCTCAAGGGATTCCAGAGCAATGCCAAGCACGCCCTCTGCCCTCTGCCCACCTTGCAGATAGAGAAACCGAGGCCCAAAGGCACAGAACCAGAGCCCTCGGAGGACGCAGGGCCCAGCCCGGCACGTACTTGGTGACATCCGGGGCTGATGTCGGACGCACGGTCTTCCTCAGAGCCTCAATCCAGTTCCGCCGGATGCCCGAGGTCATGGCCGACAAAGTGTACACGGCATCCTTGGTCTGCGAATCCACCCGCAGGTAGGTTGGCACACGGCCAGCCCACGCACGGTGCCCTCCCCCTGTGGGCCCCAGAGAGGCCAGGCCTGCCCTCCCGGAGGGCGTCTGCGGGCTGGAGTCGCAGTGAGAGAAGGGGTGAGTGGTGTCCGCCCCCACCCCTGTCCCCAGCTCTCCCCAGGGCTCCTGACGGCACGGGTGGGACAGCTGACCCCCGCCAACGCTCGCACCTCCTCCAGGGCCCCGGCCCGCCCGCCCTGAGCCTCCGGCCTCACGTGGATCTGGAAGCCGTAGTTGCGCTGCACCGCGTACTCGGTGACATCCGTGCAGGCGCGGAGGTCGATCTCGCCATCCAGCTCGTCCGCCTGGAGCAGGAGAGCCCAGCGTGGTCCACGAGGGCCTGGGCCCACCCGGCTGACCCCACCGGAGCCCTCCCCTGCAGCTCACCTCCTCAGCGGTGGAGTCCCTGTAATACTTGAGGCTCGAATCCGTCAGCACAAACCAGTGCTTCTTCCACTGTGGGGCAGAGGTGCAGGTGAGCTGGGGGAGGGCGGCTGCGGGGGGAGGGGGTCACACACGACAGCCTGTGTCCCCGGCTACTGCAGCGACGCCGCTTGGATCGGGAGCCCTACCCCAGCTTCTCCTCTCTGGGCCTCGGGGGCAGCATCTCTGAAATGGGTTGGCTTCTTCTCCATAACCACGCCCCCCTTTCCTTTTTGGAGCCCCTCTCTGGCTTGCTGATGCTCCCAGACCCCTCGTGAAGATCAGTGAGGCTCCTTGGGCAAACCCCAGGGCAGCCCGGATCAGGGAGGGGTCATGGCCCGAGTAAAGTCACTTGCCTAGCAAGTTCAGGGCTGAGCGGAGCCGGAACTCCCCAAGTCTTCCCTCCTGTGCACTCCTGAGTCACCGCAGTGACCAAAGACAAAGGTCTGGGAGAGGGCAGGCATGGAGGAGTCTGGGGTGGGCGTGGCCCGCCACGAAGGCCGGGATGTGGACGCTTAGGGTTTATGATCTGGGCACTTTCCTGCAGTGGCTCCCTGCCCCAGCCTGGGCCAGGTTGGCAGGACACACGGGAAACAGCCTGAGCTCAGCCACCCCAGGCTCTGGTCACTCCGCTGGAATGCCAGCTGAGGTCTGCCCACTGCCAGAGCCAGTGCGCGTGGCCCAGCCCCCAGCCCGCCCGACATCACCAAGCCCTGCCACACGGTTCATTGTTTCCTCCAGAAGCGGCGGTTTCCAGGGCGCGTAAGGGTGACACTGCCTCCCTGGAAAACAGGGCTTTGCGCCCAAGCACCCAGCCGTGACTTTGCTGGCTAGCTGTGTGCCGTCAGGCAGGTGCCTCCACTCCTCTGAGCTCCAGTCTTTGACCCCTACAGTGGGGCTACTAAGAAGCCCCTGCGCCTCTGGTGAGCAGAGCCCGACTCTCGGGGCTGTGCCTCTCGCTGCTGGGGCGCACGGAGAATCTCCTGCCCTCGCTGGGTGGACCAGGCTGCAGCCTGAGCCCTCCCTTGCCTGTCTGCCAAGGGGCTTCTCTGGCCCTTCTCCGTCTGGGCTTGGACGGGCTCCGTGGGTCTCAGGCACCCTCTGCTCCAGGCCAGGAAGGGATGGACACTCTTGTGGGCCTGCCTCCGGCCTGTGCACCAAGGGGCTGGGCTGGCTGAACTCCCAGGACCCTTCCAGCTCGGACATTCCAAAACCCTGTGAGAGGGGCTGAGCAACAGCCAGTTCTGGGCGGGGCCTGTAACCCCTCTGCCCTCCAGGGACCCTGGGTGGGGAGGCTGGGCAGGGGTCACTGGCAGGGTGCCAGGCCTTGTGTGAACCTGGAGAGCGGCCCCCAGGGGACAGCGGGCAGGCAGCGGCGGGAAGGCTGTGGCTGGAGGCAGGAGCGTGTGGGCAGGAAACACAATGAGGCTCGCTTTGGCCGTGCGCCGCCTCGGCATGCGGGCTGCACGCAGACCTGCGCCTCGGGCACACGTCCCCTCCCGAGCAAGGCGGGCAGGGGGCCAGCTCCAGCTTCCAGCTCCAGCCTGGCAGCCAAAAGGGCCGAGCTGGCGAAACAGCCAGCTCCTTTCCAGCTCCAGGACGGCAGGGGTCACCTGCTGAGCCCCCCCACCGGCCCCTCCCATGCTGGATCTCTGCCCGAGTATCCGCTCTGGCAGGAATGCCCACCGTCCAGCATGTCCCTGCCTCAGGTGTGGCCACTGGGCCGACACAGGCTGCTACTCGGCTGGGGGCCCCGTGGCGGCGATGCCCGAGCCTCTGTCCAGCCCCATCCCCGTGGCCGTGTCTGGGAAAGCAGGCATCTCAGGTTGGAACCCCTCCGAGAGCCCTCCGGCCGCAGACCCTGGCTGGTCCCACCCAGGACTGCATGCAGTGGAGGGTCAACAGGCTCCTGGTGAGGGCAGGGAGTGGGTGCAGGGTGTGAGGGGCTGGGGTCACTTCTACACGCAGTAGACTGCCTGGCAGGGGAGGGGACCAGCAGCCTCTGCCCCTTCCCCCTCCACAGTCCGGGCCTCTTTTCCACTGGACAAGCAATGCCAGGCCCCTGTTTTCACTCTGGCCCAGCCCCACCCCAAGGTCTCCAGGAGGCCGGGCAGGCCAGGGAAGCCACAGCTCAACCTCCTGGGCTGCTCCCATGGCCCTGCCGTGGCCCGAGCCCACCTCCTCTCGGCCACTCCAGCCCTCCTACCTCTCCAGGCTCGTCCAAGATTGACATCCATCCCTTCTTGAAGTTGAGCAGGTCGGGCTATGGGGAGATGAGGAGGCAGAGCAGTCAGGCCCAACGGGAAGCTGACTGGGCTGGGGAGACAGGGTGGCCCACCCATCTTGCTCCCAAGTCCAGCAAGACTGGGGTCCTGGTTAGCCTGTGAGGGGGCTAAGAGCCCAGGCAGCCCCCAAAGCGCAAGAGGGTACCCTAGCCTCCAAGGTCACTGCCCCCAACATTCACCACTCTCAGAGCCATGAGGGTGGACCGGTGAGGTCCAAACTCAGTCCCCACCAGCTCTTTCCAGCCAGCAGTGGTGGACAGGAGGCCAAGAGACCTGCACTCATAGAAAAGACCCCCAGAGAGCTCAGAGACAGCCCACACCAGCAGGCAGCCACCGGGAACACAGCTGAGTGCTCGCCAGCCCCAGCCACTGACCCCCTGTGGCATGAGCAGGTGCACCATTCCCTCACCCCCTGGAGGCCCTGAAAGGTGCAGCCCGTCCCAGGCTGGGGTCAGACACATGCTGGTCCCCCCAGATCTCTTTGGGACGGTCAGCGCAATGGCACCTCTGTCCTGGCAACCCTACCTTCCAGGTTCTGCCCAGTGGGGCAGAGCCCCGAGGTCTGGGGGCTCCCGGCTGCAGCATGTCCCACGGGGACCTGGCAGCTAGGCAGCCCCTAGAAGCAGCAGCTGCTCAACCTGTGCATCCTTGGGCGCCAGCTGTCAGACCCTCCCTGCCCTCGGGGAGATGGTGCTCCTCTAGGTCCCAGTCCCTCCGTGGTCTGGGCTCCTGCTAACCGGCCGGGCTGGCAGGCAAGTAGGAGGCGGCCACCTGTTGCCATGGCTCTGAGCCCACCTATCAGCACCTGCATCGCAGCCTCACCAGGCCAAGGTGTCTGGTTGCGTGGAAGCAGCCGGAGGCATGGCTCAGTGGGGTGGGTGGCTACAGCTCAGCAGCTGGAAACCAGAGCCGCCTGACCTGGCCACCTCTCCCGATCCGCCCTCCTCCCAGGGAGCCCCATTCCCCTTCTCCCGAGGAGAAAGTGGGCTGAGGGGGCTTGGACTAGCAGCCTGGACACCAGGAACCATCCAAGGCCATGGTCAGGGGCCTCATCAAGCTGGCAGCCCCACCCCGTTCAGCGGCATCATAGCCCCGCCCTGCATACCTGAGGGCGGGGCCGCAGGCTCTGCTCAGAACCAGGAAACCCTGGGGCTGCGAGTCCAGTCTGCTCTCTGTTCTGCCCACCTGTCTCCCATCTGTGAGGCTGCACAGGGTGGTCCTGCTCCCGGCAGCCCTCAGGGAGAGCCCGCTGAACAGGCATCGGCCCCTCTGCCTTCCTGCCTCACCTGCACCTGGCCACGCGGAACCTGGCTTCCTGGGATGGGCCCGTGGAGCCCGGGCTGACCCGGGGCAGAGCCCCTGGAAGGCCAGTGAGACTGGGCCAGGGGCTCTGCAGCAGGAACAACAGGCTGGGACCCTCCGGAGTCCCACCCCCTCTCTGAGCGCTGCCTCACTGACGGGGGGAGGGTCCTGTCCCCTCCCCAGCTTCCCAAGAGGGTACAGAGGGCTGATACCCCGTCAGAGGGTGGCGCAGACCTGGCACCGGCTAGGCACCCCACCCAGGTGCGCCACAGCACCGCAGCCTCGGGGAGCGAGCTCACCCGTGTCTCCTGCGGCCCTCCACGCACGGCCCCTCAGCTCCTCCCTCTGAGCAGCACCCACAGCCCTCTTCCCTGACCTCGCCCCCCCCCCCTCCCCGAGCACACTTGGCCAGGGGGACCGGCTCCGGCCTGGCTCCGGCCGGCACGGCAGCCTCCCCCTGCCCTTCCAGCTGGGGCCCAGGTTTTTGCCATCACAGCCCTCCTGGCCCCCAGCACGCGGGGACGCTGACCTGTCACCCCTGCCTGTGTCCTGGGCCTGAATTACTGGGCTCCCTCCCACTCGGCTGGCCAGACAGGCCCTACTCCCCGTAAGAGCCGGGTTAATCACCACCTGAGTCCCTTTCCCCATGCTCAGCACATGGCGCCCGCCCACAGGCCTCTGCGGTGCCAGGAGGCCACTCACTCGGCCCTCACAGGCTGGACCGGAGCAGCTCCCGGTTGGGACAGGGACACTCATTGTCACCCCAGGGCGGAGCGGAGCGCAGATGGCAGGGGTGGGGTGGGGGGAGGCCCGCTCAGGAAGTGTTTGTAGGTTTTCTGTTTTGTTTGTAAGCATCAGGCGCTGTGCTGGGCGGGCAGATCACCTGTGGGCAAGGGCAGTGGCTCCTGCCCGGGTGGGTCTCGGAGAGACAGACAGCAAACAAGGGACAAGTATATAATTTGGGGAACGAGGCGCCGGGCAAAGCTGAGCCAGGGCTAAGGCAAGAGCAGGTGGGAGAGGGTCCTGACTCCAGACGCAGCCCCACATCGCCCGCCCCCGAGGCTCTGGGCATTTACCACCACCCCACCACCCCCAGCGCCTGTGCTGCCAGCAGATGGGGGCCCGGGAGAGGAAGAGGGGGTGAGGAAGGAACCAGCTTGGAGCAGCCAGGGGAAACCCAGCAGGCCTCGGCTCTGCCCTGAGATCTGCCACGGCTCCCACTGCCCCTGACCAGAGCCCACGCTGGGGGCCCGCCCCTGACCACTCCGACGACATGGCCACCAGCGCCGTCCACGGGGCTCCCTCTTCTGAAGCCCTGCCCTCCCCCAGAGCCAGTCCTAGTCCCAGGAGGACACCTCCAGCCAGAACCCTCTAGACGGCCAGCAAGGCGCTGTGTCTCCTGCAGCTGTGCTGGCCCCACTGTGTCCCCTCGCCCAGCCTCACCCCAGCCCCGCCTGTGCTGGCCCCGCTGCGTCCCCTCGCCCAGCCTCACCCCAGCCCTGTGCTGGCCCCGCTGAGTCCCCTCGCCCAGCCTCACCCCAGCCCTGTGCTGGCCTCGCTGAGTCCCCTCGCCCAGCCTCACCCCAGCCCTGTGCTGGCCCTGCTGCGTCCCCTCGCCCAGCCTCACCCCGGCCCCGCCTGTGCTGGCCCTGCTGAGTCCCCTTGCCCAGCCTCACCCCAGCCCTGTGCTGGCCCCGCTGAGTCCCCTCGCCCAGCCTCACCCCGGCCCCGCCTGTGCTGGCCCCGCTGAGTCCCCTCGCCCAGCCTCACCCCAGCCCTGTGCTGGCCCCGCTGAGTCCCCTCGCCCAGCCTCACCCCGGCCCCGCCTGTGCTGGCCCCGCTGAGTCCCCTCGCCCAGCCTCACCCCAGCCCTGTGCTGGCCCCGCTGAGTCCCCTCGCCCAGCCTCACCCCAGCCCTGTGCTGGCCCCGCTGAGTCCCCTCGCCCAGCCTCACCCCGGCCCCGCCTGTGCTGGCCCCGCTGAGTCCCCTCGCCCAGCCTCACCCCAGCCTGTGCTGGCCCCGCTGCATCCCCTCGCCCAGCCTCACCCCGGCCCTGCCTGTGCTGGCCCCGCTGCACCCCGGCACACTTCTGGCTCCCAGGGAGGAAACCTGGGGCGGCCCGGAGGCTCACCAGGCACCAGCAGCATCCCAGGGGCACGGCGCGCCCTCACTCCCCCACACCTCCGTGTCTGCATCTCTCAGGTGGGGGCACTACCACCAGCTTTGAGGGACTCAGTCCAGTGCCCACCGCGAAAGCACCCAGATGAGGGCCTGGCAGGCACCCGCCCCAGGACACTGACTCAGCTCCTCCCCCCACACCCCCCTCTGCTCCCGGACAGCGAGGGGAGGCTGCTGACGACAGGAAAGGCCAGCAGGGAGGTGGCAGGATGTGCGGAGGCCGAGGAAGTCCAGGCGGCAGCAGCCAGGTCATCACATTCACAGGGGCCGGGGCTCCGCCTGCCACGCCCCCCAGCGACCCAGCCCACCCCTCAGCGCGGCACTGACGCGCGCATGCGCAAACACACCCCCTCCGCATCGCCCCCAACCTCACGGGGCAAGCGGGCTGTCAGGGCCTCCCTAAGGCCCGGGGCATAAGTCAAGAGCGGCCCCACCCCTCCCTCCCACAATATCATGGTGGTCAGACGGTTCCGGAACGGGGACCCCTGCTTCCTTTAACTGGAGTGAACTCAGACGGCGCACCGACCCCCCCCGCCCCCGCCAGGCATCAGTTTACCCAGTTGTGCAATGGACACAGTGCATTCAGCTGTGCGCCTCGCTGTGGCAACTGAGACGCGGATACTGACCAGACTTGGGGAGAGCTCACCCGCCCAGGGAAAGCACTGGCCCCTCACCCGCCGGCTCGCCCCACCCAGGTGGCGGAGAAACGGGTATCCCGCCGCTTCGGGCGCCCGAGGAGGGGCTCCGGGACCTTGGGTGGGGCGGGCCGGCTCCTTCTCACCCCGCCCACGCCGGCCAGCGCCCGCACGGCAGGCCAGCCTGCCCGGCCGGCTCAGCGCCACCGCGCAAACCGCCAGGGACACCAGACCCGGTCCACCTCCGCGGCTTCCGCAGCCCGGAGCCCTGGCCGCCCGCGGCAGCGCGGGGCAGCGGGTCTTCGGCTAGGAGGCTGGGGGCGGGGCGGGAAGGGCCGCCCGAATCCGTCCGTGACGGCCCCGCAACAGTGAGGAGGGGGGTGCCCGGGCCGGACGGTGCCCAGCTCCTCGGGGTCGCCTGGGCCCCTGGCGGTGAGGAAGCGAGCGAAGGTGTGGAGGCGGCTGGGGAATGCGAGGCGGGTCCGGCCGTCCCGTGCCTCTGGGGTCGCCCTGTCGCCTCCGGAGAGTGAGGCGGGGGCTCCCCCTCGGGCCGTCGCCCCCATCCCGGCTCAGGTCGCGGAGGGGCTGCCCCGAGGGGCACTCACCGTCATGGCGGCGCCCAGGGGCGGCGGGAGCAGCAGGCAGGAAGGCGGAGGGGGCTCTCGGGCCGGGCTCCGCGGCGCGGGGGTCGCGCCGCCGCCGCCCCTCTCGGCTACCCGCCGCCGCTCCTCCGGTCCTTCGCTTCCCCGGCGCTGCCCCAGCCCCTTCCATCCGCCCATAAAACTTTTTTTTTTTTTTTCAAACTTCCTGGGAGGACCCGGGCGGGCCAATGGGTGGCGGGGAAGCCGGGACAAACAGCGGCGGGGGCCGCGGCGGGCCAATGAGAACGCCGGATGGGCCCAGGGGCGGGGCCTGCCGCGACGGGCCGGGCCGGGCGCGCGCCGCGGCCAGGGCGGGCGGATGGGGGCGGAGGGAGGCGAGGGCGGCGGCGGCCGGAGGGCGGGCGCGCTGGGAGGAAGGAAGGGCTCCGCGCGCAGGTGACTCCGTCCGGCCGGGGCGCGGGGGTGAGGGGCGGGAGGCCGGGCGTGGCCCTCTCGTGGCTCCGCCCCCGCCCCGCCCCCGCCGGCCTGTCGGAACTCAAGGGCCGGTTGATGGGGTCGTGGGCGAAGCTCGCAGCCCCCACGACCCCGCGGGTTGCACTCCCTAGCGGTGCAGCCGGCTTTCGTCCTCACCGCAGACCTGAGGGAGAGGGGCCTTGTCCTGATTTTACTAATGTGAAAACAGGGGCCCAGAGAGGCGAGCCCACCGGCCCGAGGCCACACAGTGAGAAGAGGTAGCTTTCCCCGCAAAGACGCCGCGCCCAAAGCCAGTTCTTGGATGGCAGCGCCTTGCCCCTGCCCCCTCCTCACAAGCAGGTGCTGGGTGTGTGTGGTCTACCTGTCACTCATATCCCCGGAAGTTCCTGGCCATTCGCTCTTAGCCTGCAGGAGCTCAGATGAGAGGGACCTTGGTGGAACTGTTGCTGAACGCACGTGGTAACCTCTGTGGCACAATGACTCAAACCTAGTTACCTTAGGCAAGGTTACTTCCAGTCTTTGTGCCCCCATTCCGCCCTCCAGAAAATGGGGGTGATGCTGGAACCTCGAATAAGTGGGAATTGAAGAAAAGCCGCTGGAACAACCTCTTTCTCCCCTGGCAGTTCTGTTGGGTGGGGGCCGGGAGCCTGGAGCAATGTGCCATTTCAATGAGTCGGCCACCTTGGTTTGGGGTCAAAACTATTATAATTACTCTCCCCACTTCTCAGATGGAGAAGTGGAGGCGCAGGGAGCTGATGTTCTCCTCCACTGGGCGTCTCTCCACTGGGAAGAATGAGGCCGCAGGGAAGGCCACGTGAGTCCAGAAACTGGCCACTGGCAGCCCCCGCCCACCTGCGCCTAGGCATTCAGTCCTTGGGAGGGTGACCGAGTGGACACAGACCCCACCCACCATCAAGGCACCTGCTGGGGGCCTCCCTGTCCATCATAATTTGACCCCTGCCTCCTGTCGCCTGTCACCACAAAGCCAGGGGACCCGCTCTGCATACACGGCACCGGCTACCAGGATTCTCAGGACTAGGCAGGTCCCTCGCCCTGCCTGCCTGCCGGGTCTGGGGCACTTCTCGTTCTCGGTACCCCAGAACACTGGCTCTCCCTCTCCCCTTCTTCCCCTTCCTCCTCCAAATGGTTGCTTGCCTTCGGTTCTGAGTCCAGAGGAAGCGTGCTTAGTGACTCCTCAGCCAGCGCTCCTGCACCTGACGCCTTGCACAGTGCTCCCTGCGTCTGTTCATTCCCCCACCCCCCACGCACCACACTAAAGCCACGCTGTGCTCTGAGCAGGTCCACGTTAGCGGCCCCGCCTGACCGCTCCTGTGGGCAGGCATGGAATGGTTTTTATCTCGAAGGCCAGCCCAGTGCCTGCTCAGGAAACACTGGACAGGAGAAGGAATGCACGCGCGAGGGCAGCACCCAAGACAGGGCACGGCTTCAGAAGTGAGCTGTTAAAGTGGCCGGGACCGTGCTGGGGTTAGCCAGTGCCAGCCTGAGACCAGTTTCACTACGTCAGCCCCAGGGCTGTTAGCAGCTGCCCTCAGGGACATCTCCAACTCGCCATCTTCCTCATTCCCACACCAGGGAGCGGTGCAGTCAGATGCACCAAGCCTCACTTGTCCCATCTGTCTAATGGGAACACTCACTGAAGACTCGGGGGCTGCAAGGAGGCTCAGGGAGATCAGGGCGCGTGCAGCTGGGTAGGTGGGTTTGTAAACACTTGGCTCTGAGTTCAGCCAGCATGGTTTGTCCCTTGTCCCCGTGTGACCCGGAATGAGATGTTACCCCGAGCTTCATTTCTGCACCTGTACCATGGACACTGGATCTAACGGTGCCTGGTGCTGAGGGCCACATGCAGTCAGGCAGGCCAGGCACTGAGCACGATGCTGGGCATACAGCAGGTGCACAATAGTTGCTGGCTGGGGGCCAGCTTCGTGGCGCAGTGAGTTAATCCTCTGCTTGTATCCTCAGAGGACCACCAGTGCAAGTCCCAGCTGCTCCGCATCCTATCCAGCTCCCTGCTGATGCACCTGGGAGCCCAGTGGGTGATGGCTTAAGTACTTGGGTCCCTGCACCCACTTGAGAGACCAGCATGGAGTTCCTGGCTCCTGGCGTTAGCCTGGTCCAGACCTGGCTGTTACAGCCACCTGGGGAGGGAACCAATGGATGGAAGATCTCTCCCTGTGTCTCCCTCTCTCTGTCACGCTGCTTTTCAAATAAATAAGAAAATTTTTAAAAAATGGCTGGTTACCATCATCGTCACCCCACAGCTTGCCTCCACTTACCTCCCCCTTTTCCCACTCAGGACTTCCCTGTCCCCTCCTGCCAGACCTGCTGTGTGCCTGTGACCTTCCCTTAGACAGATCAGGTCCCGCAGGAAGTGGGGAACGGGTGAGCAATTTCCTGTTTGAGTGAGGTCCCCCGGTCCCTGTGCGTCCCAAATCCCTGAGCGCCGACGGTCTCCCCACAGAGGTGGCGCAGGGGAGCTGACTGCACCCCTCCCCCCTCCAGGAAGGAGGCAGAGCAGCTCCTCACCCCTCGAGTGGCAGCGGTGCAGCCCAGGCCAGTCAGCTCACCTCCCTAGGCCTTACTCCCTGCTTCTGTGCAATGGGTGTGCCGCCTCTGGGCTGTCCAGGCCAGTGCTAGGCCCACCGGGTAGTGAGCACGAGAGGCGGCCTGTCGTGGACTCCACCGGCCAGCCAGCCCGTAGCCCCTGGAGAGGGCGAGGCCCCTTCTCCAGCTGTGCAGAGGGGGCAGGAGGGGGCAGGTCACAGCTGCCTCCCCGCCCTGCCCTGGAGGAGCCCCAGACACAGGCAGGTTACGTCACGCCAGATGTTTGTGCAACTGGCTCAGGCCCAGGTCTGAGCCACACTTCGCAATCCCAGAGTCCCTTGCAGGCCTCCTTCCCCCCACCTGGCTCCCCTCGGCCCAGGGCTGGTGAGGAGCTGCTGACTGGGAGCTTTGGCTCCCCCAGATGACTCAGTCACCCCTCACCCCTGCGAGCCCAGGCGCTCCGCCTCCACCTCTCCCTCCGTGGGGTGGGGGGCGGCATGCCTCCTCCTCAGCCCCCACACTGCCTTCTTTGCCCAAGCCACCCCTGCCCCCTCCCTCTCCGGTCCCTGCTAGAGCCAGCCTACCCTTTGCCACCTGAGGACCCCCAGAGACAGCAGGAACGGATTGAACAGCGTGGGCCGGTCCCCGGGCATCCGCCATGTGGTCACCAGTCGGCCCTTGAGGGCGCTCCCAGCCTTGCCCTCTGCTGGCCTCTCGTCTGCCTGTCAAACAGGGTCCAGTGTTGGCCCCGGGTCTCTTTGGCCAGAGGCATCCCTGGCCACAGCCTCCCCTGCCCACCGCAAAGGCCCAGGGTTCCCATCTTTCTCCCCTCCCGCAGCTGCCAAGAAAAGTGGGCCAGCACTGTGGTACAGGCGGTCATCCCATTGATTCGAGTCCCGGCTGCTCCACTTCCCATCCAGCTGCCTGCTAATGCGCCTGGCAGGCAGCAGCGATGGCCCGAGTGCTTGGGCCCCTGCACCCACATGGGAGACCAGGATGGAGTTCCTGGCTCCTGGCTTCAGCCCAGCCCAGCCCTGGTAGCTGAGGAGTGACCCAGTGGATGGAAGCTCTCTCTTTCAGTGTGTCTCTCCCTTTCTCTCTGTCACTCTGCCTTTCAAACAAATTACAAAAATCTTCTTGAGGGGCCGGTGCTGTGGTGCAGTGGGTTAACGCCCTGGCCTTTAGCGCCAACATCTCATATGGGCGCCGGTTCAAGACCCCACTGCTCCACTTCTGATCCAGCTCTCTGCTGTGGCCTGGGAAAGCAGTAGAAGATGGCCCAAGTCCTTGGGCCCATGCACCCACATGGGACACCTAGAAGAAGCTCCTGGCTCCTGGCTTTGGATCGGCACAGCTCTGGCCATTGTGGCCAAATGGAGAGTGAACCATTGGATGGAAGACCTCTCTCTCTCTCTCTCTCTCTCTCTCTCTCTGCCTCTCCTCTCTCTGTGTAACTCTGACTTTCGAATAAATAAATAAATCTTTTAAAAAATATTCTTGAAAAAAAAAAAATAAAACGACCTTATTAACTCGTTCACACTAGCGTGTGTTTGACTGATAGGCCGTCTAGGCTCAGCGCCCTGGGGAACCTGTGCCAGCGGGTAGGCAGTACAGAGTGCATTTGGTTCCTATGCCAAATGAGCCAGGATTTCACGCCTAAGTACAGACTTCCTATTTCTCGTGAACTAAGGACACAGAAGCCCCTCTAGGCCCATCTGGAGCCCAGGTGTCCCCAGCCCAGCCCTGCTCTTCTCACCTGGTCACCTGCCTGGCCCCCAGGGCGGTGGGTCAGTGACCACAGGCCAAGGGAAAGGAACGGATCCCAGACTTCTGCAGGCCCCCCGCCCCCCGCAGGACCCCCAGATGCCCTCCCTTTGCAGTCTTCCTTGCCTGGAAAACCAAGGCCCTGGAGAGGCAGAGGGGCTGCCCACACCACATGGGACAGCACAGGGCCACAGGGCTCTGGGGCAGGGGAGGCAGGGCAGCGTCCCCATCACAGCCCTGGTCACGCAGCACGGAGCCGCGTCCCTAGACAGCTCCACGGTGACCTGGGCTCGCCTCCCACGCCCGCCCAGGCACACAGGAGGGCTCACCAAGGCCCCTCGTCAGGGAGTGCGTGAACGAGGGCTGCTGCCCGGGAGCAGGCCCAGAGGTTTTCCGTGTTGCTGGGACGGGCCCCTTTCACGGAGACAAGAGCAGGCCCCATATTGCTGCTTCCTCTTTGTTCCCAAGACCCCGGCTCCAGGAAGTCGGAGAAACAACGAAGGAAGCACAAAGTTGTCAGAGCCCCCAGGAGGCCTGGGGGTGCCATTTCACAGATGGGAAAACTGGCTCAGCCAGCGTCTGAGCACCGCCCTGCAGGAGGCCCAGCAGGAGGTCAGGGCAGAGCCAGGCAGCAGCCTGGGCGGGGGTGGGGGATGTGGGGGCCTGCAGGGAGCGCACTGGCCCTGGGCTCTGTTCTGAGTCCAGCCTCCGGCTGGCTGTGTGGCCTGGGTGGCTGCCCTGCCTCCCTGTCCCCATCTGCACAGTGAGGGGTCGGGCAGAATCCCCCCAGCTCCGACTAGCAACAGGGCCAGACTGGGGGGCTCCCCTGCACCACGCAGAGGCTCTGCTGTCGCCCCTGGCTTCTCTGGAGGCAGCTGGGGGGTAGCAGGGAGGGAAACAGCGTGGCTTGTCCACCGTCCCCACCCCCGCCGCCCGCTGTCCCGCTGTGCTGTGCTGGGCGCTGACCTCACCCCCGGAGGCTCAGGCTGATGGGAACAGTCTGTTTGGCAGGTGGTGGGAGGGTGGGGCAGAGCCTGGGCTCCAGCCATGGCCAGGCCTCCTGTGGCCTCAGGGGGTCCCCTCCCCTGCACACATCGCTCTTGCCTGGGGTCCCTGGAGACCCTCAGCCCCAGTGCTTCTCTGCCTCCAGCTCCAGGAAGCCCCTGCCCCTCTCTCAGCCGGGCCCGGCCCTGGAGAACTGGGAGGACCTCGTTCCCAGAGCCCATCACGGGCTCTGCAGTTCGCCTGGGGGAAGGCAGCAGAGTGCTGGGCTTCTGACCCCAGGCCGGTCCGCTCGGTCCCCAGGCCACAGACAGGGCTGCCACACAGAGCAGCTCCTCCACGGCCCCACCGTGCACACAGATGACCCCGAGGCACAGCCAGCCGTGGTGCGACTCAGCCCCCCGCCCCAGCCTCATTTCCCTCCCCGCTCCCGATCCGTGCGCCCATGCCCGTGACCCCACTACCGAGTCTGCCTGCTCCTGGTCAGTCAGCGAGCCTCGGCCTCTGCTTGGTTCTGACTCCTCAGGCTCTTCGGGCTGGAACTGGAGACGGAAAGAGCACAGCTTAGCCCAGGTTATCCCCCGGGAGGCTACCCTTCCACCCGCCTCCTCATCTGCCCGCTGTCACCCATCCATCCAGCACCTCTCTAGCACCCAGCATCCGTAGATCCTCACGTCCACCCAACCAGCCAGTGCCCATTCCACACCACCCACCCTCTCCTATCCCACATCCACTGTCATTCATGCACGCACTTGCCCATCCCCCACTCAGTCACCATCCAGCCAGCATCCAACCTCCATCTACGCATCCAACATTCATTCACCGGCCAACACCTGACGTGCGCAGCCAGGCGACGTCCACCCGGCCAGTCATTCCCAGCCTCATCCCAGCTAAGCAACACCCGCCAGCCACCCACCACGCATTCATCGCCATGTGTGCCTCCATCCACCGTCCACCCAGCCCTTGTCCATCCCAGTTACCATCCGCCCCGCACCCACTGTCTGCCCATCATCCACTCACCCCCTCATCTACCCACTGACCCATCCAGTTCCCCTCTGCTGCCCGCATGCGCTCAGAAATCCACCCCCCACCCCACCCCACCCCGCCAAGAGCGAAGCCCGCTCTTTAGGTCAGGGCCTGGGAAGGCAGAGGTACAGGCACAGCCCCGCCCCCATGGCACTCTCATGTTTCTTAAGGGGAAATGGCAGCCCAGCGTGACAGATGGCGGGGAGCAAAACCGCCAAGCCTGGGGAGGGGGAGGGGGAGGGGGAGGGGGCGGGCACTGCCAGCCCGGGGGTGGGGCGCGTATCCAGGAAGGCTTCTCAGGACAGCCGACTGCGCTTGAACGACACACAGGCGTTCGGCAGGTGAAGAAGGAAGGGAACAGTGGGAACAGCATGTGCAAAGACAGGGAGGTGCGCACGCAGGGCCTGCAGCCCGAACAGGGGCGACTGGGGTGGAGGGCAGGGGAGGAGGCCTTGAGGGCCAAGCCAGGAGCAGCTGCAGCCCCAGCAGGCCCGGGCCCAGGCCTCGCTTTGCCCTTCGCTCTGAAACGCCCTCGAGGACCTGGCGCTTCTGCCCTCGCCCCCGCCCCCCCCCCCCGTCACCATCTCCCAGCCTCCCAGAGACCCCGGGCCTTGGCAGGGAAGGACTCCCGCTGGTGAGTGTCCCTGTGGTGGTGAGGAAGTGCGGGCACGGGGGCCGGTGCTGTGGCGCATGGATTAATCCTCTGCCTGCAGTGCGGCATCCCGTATGGGTGCCGGTTCGAGTCCCAGCTGCTCCACTTCTGATCCAGCTCTCTGCTGTGACCTGGGAAAGCAGTAGAGGCTGGCCCAAGAGCTTGGGCCCCTGAACTCGTGTGGGAGACCCAGAAGAAGCTCCTGGCTCCTGGCTTCCGATTGGCCCAGCTCTGGCTGTTGCAGCCATTTGGGGAGTGAACCAGCAGATGGCAGACCTCTCTCTCTGTCTCTCCCTCTCACTGTCTGTAACTCTACCTCTCAAATAAATAAATACAAATCTTTTTTTTTTTTTAAAGCGCAGGTACAGCGTGGACACTGACCTCACTTCTCACAGCATATGCCTAACAAGTCCCCACCTCAGTTTTCTCATCTGTAAAAGGGGGCGACTGAGGCACACGGAACGAAGCACCTAGGGCTCTGTGCCCAGAGCTGGCACACAGTTAGCGCCGATGCCTGCAAGCCTGCGTCATCCCTGGAGGCGGTGGCACCCGACTGTGCACCAAAGAGAGGAGGATTTAGATGAGCGATCACAGCCCCCACAGCATCGCTCTAAGGGAAGCAGCAGAGAAACTGGGGCCGAGAGGGGCCAGAGCAGGGTTGGTGAGGCCACCCTGGGCTTGGGAACTTGGAATACAGGGGAAGGAGAGGACGTGCCCATGCTGGCCATGGTCCCGGGCAGGGTCAGGTGCCAGCCAGCAGACACAGCACAAGCCAGGTGTGGTGGGGCCAGCGGGGAGAAGGCCCTGCCCCCAGAGTGTCTGGCGTGAACCTCGGTGACCTGCACCGAGCAGAGCCGGGTTCCAGCCCTGCCCGGCCTCGCTGCCTGTGGCATCCTGGACAGGTGGCTTCACTGGTCTCCGTGAGTAAGGAGTGCCTGTCTCCTCGGGTTGCCATGGAGACTAAGTGGGGTGAGTACGCAGACATTCCGACGGAGGCGTGGCCACAGGAAGTGCTCATGGAAGCACAGGCCATAATCAGCCCTGTTCAGTTTGGCGGCCAGGCCAGGCTTGGTCAGCAGGGAGGGTCGGCTCTGAGCCCCGGCAGTGGTGCAGGAGCTGAGGTTACCACACAGGGGGACCTCTTGGAGGGCACTTGTGTGGGCCGGGCCGACTCTGGCTGCCCCTGGGGACCGGGGAGCTACTCACCTCCGGTGCGGGCAAGCTGGGCCTGTCCAGGTCGCTCCTGCCCCCCAGCGGGCCCGGGTGTTCCAGATCAGCCGCCACAGAGCTCTCCGGTCCACTTGTCACTTTCGTCTTTGGCCACTGGGTGGAGGTGCAGGCAGGGCCGGGCGGCTGGGTCAGACTCTGGGGCTGCTGCCCCGGGCTGTGTCCATTGACAATGGTGGCCTCTGCCCATCCTTCAGGCTGCCCAGGGGGCTCCTGTTCCGGGGCGTCCTTTGGGCCTGGAGGATCCAGCTCTGGGCCTGGGGCCTTGGCCGGGTCACCCGAGTGGCCCTCTGGGTCCTTGTGGGGCAGCCGGGCCTGCAGGAGCTGCAGGAGGCCTTCCCAGTCCAGCTGCGGGAGGCGGGCCCAGGCTCCGTCCCCAGGGGCCCGCAGGAGGCCCAGTAGGTCCCTCCAGTCGAGCTCGGGGTGATGTGGGTGCGGGCAAGTGCCCTCAGCCCCCCTGCCCGGGGCAGAGGCGACGGGCGGCGAGGACCCTGCTGGGCCTATCCAGGGCATCTCAGGGGGGCTCCCAGGCTGACCAGGTCCAGACAGCTCCTGCAGGCTGCCCCAGCCTCTCTGGGCTGGCTTCTCAGGGGGCTCCCCCCAGGCCTCCGCCTGTTCCCAGCTGGTGCCGGGCGAGCCCCCCCACATTCCCTCTGGGGCTCTGGTGGCCCCAGGGCTGAACCCCCCAAGTTCTTGCCGGGCCTCGGGGCCCAGGCCCTCTTCCTGGGTGCTCCAGCTCCTCTCCAGGCGTCCGTGAGGGCCCTGGGCCCCTGGCACCTCACCCTGACCCTGCCACCCTGCGGGAGGCTCTCGGGAGCTTGCCCGGCCACCCCCTGACCGCGGCTCCCTCTCCGAGGGCCTGGCTGCTGTCCTGGGAGGTGGCGAGGTCCCCTGGAGCCGCCGGTCCCCCTCAGGCCGTCTCTCGGGACTCCGGGGACGCGAGGGCTGCGTTCTGCTCCGCCCGGCCGGGTCTGCTTGCTTGACAGGGAGCTTGGCCGCCTGGGGACGAGGTGAGGGGTGGGTAAGGCTCCGGGCCCCGGCTGGGTGGCCGCTGTCCGCCCTAGGGTCCTGGGAAGGACGCGGCCATGCCCTCAGCAGCCTGGGCCAGAGCAGGTGGACAAGCGCGTGGGGTCTCCAGCTCTCCTGCCCAGCGTCACGTCTTCCCTCTCACCATTTCCTTCAGTTCTAGAAAGAGATCTGCAGAGAGCAGCTCACTTTCTGGGACCCCCCCCCCCCGCCCCGAGATACTGATCCCAACCTGGGCTATCAGGTGCCAGAATTTCCACGCCAGCACCCGGTCCCGCGGGGGCGGGCCTGGCGCCCTGTGGGTCTCTTTAGAGAGAACCTCTGCATTCTGCCAAGAGCTCCGGCCCCGGGAGAGGGGAGAGCTGGAAGCCAGGGCGGGGGCTCTGGCCCTGTCATGGAGGACCTCCCTGCCCGGTACCTGAGAAAGGGGAAACCATGGCTGGCTGTCCCGTAGGGGTGCAGGGCCGGGCGCTGGCTGTGCTCACCTGCCTGCTGGGGGCAGGGCTGGACTGTCTCCGAAGCAGCTGACTCTGACCTTGGCTGGGCCGCTGTGACCGTCCCTCGTCTCGAGCCTGGAGGGCCCCCGGAGCCTCGGACTTCCTAGGAGCAAAGACGGCCGCTCCTCTGAGGACCCTGGGGCCGTGCCACCGCCAGCACCCAGTCCCTCCACTCCCACCCACGCTGGGAGGAGCTGTGGGGGATCCAGGGCCCCGAGCGAGGGCTGAGCGTCTTAGGGCCTCAGTTTCCCCTTCTGTGAAATGGAGATGGCGAGGAGCAGCCCCTGCTGCCTCCTGGCGCTGCTGTGAGGACGCAGCCCCGGCCACGGTGGCCCCGAATCATTCAGCACTTCCTGCCACCTACCACCCCAGAAGAAGGTCAGGCTGAGCTTTGTGGGAAGTGAGATTTATTGAGCACCTACTGTGTACCAAGTACTGTGCGCACCATCGCCTGGGGGCCCGCACGTACTGAGCTCCTCCTAAGCTGCAGTGTGCATGGCCCCGTCTCATCCCCACAGCCCGTGCGGCGGGGACAGGCGGTGAGCAGCGGTGTGGCCCCAGCTGCCCTCTTCCTGTCCTTCCTGTCCGTCTGGGATTCTCAGGCCCACGTCCTCCCCCTCCCCCAGTGCCCACTAGAAGAATCGCAGCACTGAGCCTGGGAAACTTCAAGCCATCCTAGTGGTTGGCAAAAGAGCTCTCAGGGAGATCAGAAGGAAGAAAGCCCCCCGCCCAGCACCTCCAGAAAGGCCGACGCCAACCCTCCCGGCAGAGGTCACGGCTGAGCCGCCCGGACTTCTGGGGTTGCTGCCACATCCCACAGAGACGGCCTCTAACCCGGGCAGAAAGCCTTCGGTTCCTGTTTTCTTGCTTAATAACGCAGCCGTGGTTATTAATGGTTAACGAGCTATCTCTGTGAGGGAGGAGGGCCAAACAGACCCCGGGCTCGCCCCTCCCCGCCGTGGGGAAGGGTTCACAGCCCAAGACCCAGCCGTGCCGGGAGCACTTGTTTCGGTGCTGTTTGAGGTCCTGGCTTCATCCAAACTGACAGCTGGAGCTCGGCAGGAGAAACGTGAAAAAGCCAGCCCACGGCCGGCCCAGGGGGGCCCACGCGCGGCTCTGGGCACTGGACCTGCGCTGTGGGCCTGGGGGTCAGAGTTGTGTGTGGGGGTCCCCACGGACCTTCGATGCAGGAAGTCAGGGAGCTCCCAGCAGTACCCAGCAGCTGACTCTGGGGAGCTCCCCAGACGGCCCCTGTTTCTAATCTAACTTTGGGGAAGCCCAACCCCACGGTGGGAAGCGCCTGGGGGCAGGCAGGGGGGGGTTGCAGGTGCTCTGCTCTTACAGGAGCTGGCTTGATAAGCTCACTTTGCTTCCTCCCACACGGAACACAGACACAGCAGCGGGGGCCTGGGACCCCGACGACGGAGACCCGGCCTCTCTGTTACCGAAGCAACAGCGTCCCCCCAGACCTGCTGCTCCGGAGGGCTGGCCTGGCCTGGCCGCACCAAAGATAACAAAGCAAACACGCGGCCTGCAGAAGCTTCCATGGGCCATTGAAAGCCCAAAGCCGGGAGTGCAGCAGACCACAAGAGGATGTTTTGAATTCAAGAGGCCACAGAATGCCTGCGTGATGCTAAGATAAGAGATTCCAAAGGCATCCATGGGAAAACCAAGGTCCCCCGCGCTTTGAGGAGGGGATGCTAACCCTTTAAGAAAAGGGCTCCAGGCTCACAACACCGCATGGACACAAAGTCCACCCCCGGGATGAGAAATCAGACGCTCTGGTCTGACTCCTACCCAGATGCTCAAATAGTTCTAGAAATGTCTTCCTCGCTGTGGTGTAGTGGGTGGAGCCTCTGCCTACAGGGCTGGCATCCCGTATAGGCACCAGTTCAAGTCCTGGCTGCTCCACTTCCCATCCAGGGGAAGCAGCAGAGAAGGGCCCAAGTGCTTGGGCCCCTGCACCCACATGGGAGACCTGGATGGAATTCCTGGCTCCTGGCTTCAGCCTGGCCCAACCCAGCCACCGAGGTCATTTGGGAAGTGAACCAGCGGATGAAACATCTCTCTCTCTCTCTCGGTCCCCACTCCCTGCCCTCTCCCACTCTGCTTTTCAAATAAGTAAACCTCAAAAAAAAAAAAAAAAAAGAAATTTCATCTTCAGAAAATGCGTGGCTGTCTACTTGGGAAGAGTGCCATAACAGAAGAAAATGAACTACTCAGCACAACACCCTGATGGAAGGGCAAATTCTCCACTTCAGAGAGAGTGGAAGAAGACGCACAGAAGTAATTAGAGTGCACCCATATTCCTAGTTTCTAGTCAAGGCCTTTATCTCTCTGAAAGTTGTGGGCGGGATGGGGGGCGGAGATACAGAAGGACCGTGATAAGATCCCAGCCGTCCAGCTGAGCGAGCTATCGGATGAGAGTGTGCAGGCCAAAAGTGGTACTCGAAGGCCAAAGACGCGGAGGACTTGGCAGGCGCTGGAGCCACACGGCAGGATGCTGTGGTGCCGGCTACCCCCGCGCAGCGTCACCCAAACCCACAGAGTGCGCGCCCCGTACAGCGAGCCTCGCTGGAGACGGTGGGCCCTGGGTCAGGGCGCCCGGCCCCTCCGTTTTGTTTGCGGTCAAGAGTACATGGCAACTCTCCCTACTTTCTGCTTGATTTTGCTGTGAACCTAAAAATGCTCTTAAAAATTGTGTATGAGAGAGAGAGAGAGAGAAGAGAGAGAGAGGCCGGCACCATGGTGCAGAGGATTAAGCGGCCACTTGTAATGCCGGCGTCCCACATAGACGCTGGTTGAGTCCTGGCTGCTCCACGTCCGATCCAGCTCCCTGCTAGTGCACCTGGGAAGGTAGCAGAGGACGGCCCAAATCCTTGGGCTCCTGCACCCACGTGGGAGACCCTGATGGGGTCCCAGGCTCCTGGTTGCAGCCTGGCCCAGCCCTGGTCATTGTGGTCATTTAGGGAGTAAACCAGCCAATGGAAGAGTCTCTCTCTCCTCTTCTCTCCTCTCCTGCTCTCTGTAACTCTGCTTTTCAAATAAATAAATCTTTAAAAAAGTAAAAAATAAAGAGGCCATTGAAAGAATGACAGGCATGCTGGAGACCACGAGGGTCGTCCCATGGACTTGCGATGGATCCGTTTTGCTGGAAAGGACCCAGGAAGACGGAGAGATGGAGCGCCTCGTGAAGATGCAGATCTGAGAGAGGCAGCGCCGGGGGCGGCCAAGAGGCGGAGTTCCGAGCTGAAACACCGTGCGCCTCTGTAGGACGACGGACAGCCCTAAACACAGGTCGTAGTGATGGCTGCGCAGCGTGCGAGAACTGGAAGCGGATACGGCGGTTCACAGAGACTCCAGGCTACTTGCTCTCTGTCCTCTTGACCTCTCTGGTTCTTGAAACCTCCGGGGTTGGAACCATCGCGGGGAATCTCGACCAGGGTAGGCAGAGACGTCCCCGCCCCCAGCGAGGCCTGGTGGGGCTGACCAGGGAAGCTCGCAGGACACCTGCGCCCCAGGGTGGGAGGGAGGGAGGGTGTCTTGTCCTAGGAAAGCAAACTTCACCTCTAAAAACCCTGCAGTGCTGAGTTCCTTTACTTTAGACACATGGCTCTGGCCATATGCTTAGGTCAACGCCTCTGGGGTGAGCATTTTGGCGCAGTGGTTGCGACACCACTGTCCCTGATCAGAGTGCCTGGGCTCAAGTCCCAGCTGCACCCCCACCCCAGCTTCCTGCTGCTGCACACCCGGGGCAGGCAGCAGGTGCAGGCTCAAGTAGGTGCGTCCCTGCCCCCCGGTGTGGAGACCCAGACTAAGTTCCTGGCTCCTGGCTTGGTCCTGGCCCAGCCCCAGCTGCTTGTGGGCGTTTGGGGACTGAACCAGCAGATGGTCTCTCTGCCTTTCAACTAAATGAAATAAATAAAAGTAGGTTGCGCTCTCTCTTTTCTGAAATGCATGGGGACCTGTGAGTTTTCTTACTTCAGACAGAAAAAATCCACGGGTGGGCACCTTCTTCTCCCTTATTTAAGAAGAGGGGGGAAAAGGCACAAATAGCTCGTGCCTCTGGATCCAAGGGTTTGGAGTTCAAGGTCATTTAATAAGTGCGCTTTCTCTCCCATTTCACAGACGAGGAAACTGAAGCTCAGGCAGGTGAAATCACTTTGCCAGGTCATCAGGTAAGGGGTGGGTCTGGCCCAGATCTTGAACCCAACGCGCCCGACGCCCACCTGCTCTTAACCACCGGGCTGTCTACCCCATCACTTAATCCTCAACACACTGCAGGATCAGAGCTGAAGTGACTGCTCCAAGGCCACGCAGCTGGCCGAGTGGCAGGGTACAGGGGTGGGGTCCCTTGCTTCTGGCAGCCTCGCACCTGTCCCGAGGCCGCGCCTTCTCCCCAGCCCACCTGGCTGCCCCCGCCCTGGGCTCACCTGCGCTCTTGCCGGAAGAGGCGCTCCACCTCTGCGCGGCCAGGGCTGTGGGTGCGGCCCCCGTTGCTGCCCTGCGCCTGGGGTCCCGGCTCCCTCTGGGCAAGCCTCCTGGGCGGGGGCAGGTCGGCCAGCACGGTGTACTCCTCCCTCTCCAAGTTGTGCCTGGTCTCCCCAGGGGGCACCGAGCCCCGGGAGCCACCCGAGCTGCCCGGTGGAGGTGAGGGCGCCAGCAGCGCCAGGTCACTGGGTGGGTGGCGGGGCGGGGATGAGGCTCGAGGGGCGTCGCGATGGCCGATGCACACTTGGGGGAGCAGCAGAGAAGAGCCGTGCAGGGAGTCGGTGGAGGGGGCCAGGCTCTCTGTGCTCGTCCCTGGGGGGTCCTGGAAGAAGAGGGAAGGCTCCGGAGCCTGGCGCGGGGGGGATGAGAAGGAGGGGGCGTCCCGGTGCCCAATGCACACAGGGGTGGGGAGCCGGAGGGGCTCGTGCAGAGAGTCCGTGGAGGGCACAAGGCTCTCGGTGCTGGCCCTGGGGAGGTCCTGGAACAGGAGGGAGGGCTCTGGGGCCTGGCGAGGCGGGGAGGAGGCCCGGGGCGCATCGCGGTACCCAATACACACAGGCGGGGGTAGCTGGGGAGGGTCGTGCTGGGGAGACTGAGTCTCGGAATCTGATGTGTCTGGGAGGAAGGGGAAGGGGTCGAACTGGGTGTGGCGAGGGGGCGAGGAGGCCCGGGGCGCGTCGCGGTGCCCGATGCACACGGCAGGCGGCATGTAGGGGGGCTCGTGGTGAGGCAGGTCACTCTCAGAGGCTCGGGGGTCTGGGAAGAAGGGGAAGGGGTCGTGCTGCAGAGAGCGAGGTGGCGAGGAGGCTCGAGGTGCATCCCGGTGCCCGATGCACACAGCACAGGGGGCCTGGGAGGGCTCTGAGGGCATCTGGGGAGCTCCCCGGGGATACAGAGGAGAGGGCCGGGGGGCGCTGTGCTGGCCAGGGCCGTGGGAGGAAGGTGTGAGCCGGGCCGGCAAGTTGGGCTGCGTGGGGCCAGAGGAGGACATGGGCGGGTCACGGCCTGGCCTGGTGGGAGAGGACGAATGAGACCTGTCACCTTGAGTTGGCCGAAGGGCTATGGACGCCCAGGGCACCTCGCTTTGCTTGGCGCGAGATGGGGAAGAGGTTCGCGGGCCGTCACTCTGAGTTGGCCGGAGGGGAAAGGAGGCCCAGGGGATGTCTTTGTTGGTGCGGTGGGGCGAGGACTGCCTGGCGTTGCTCCGCGGGGCGGCGCGGGGTGGAGATGGTGGCCCAGGACGGTCCTTCGGGGCGCAGCTCTGAGCAGCAGGCGCTCCGGGGTTGTCCCGCCGGAGGGAAGAAGTGTGTGGCTTGTTCCTCTGGGTACAAGCAGTTCTGAGGTTATCCCATCTACTACAAGAGGCTTTAGGGCCGTCCCGCTGGGCACAGGAGGCCCTGGGGTTGTCCCGCTGGGTCATTCGGTTGGGAGAGGAGGCCCTGGGGTTGTTCCGTTGGGCACAGGAGGCCCTGGGGTTGTCTTGTTGAGTGGTTCGGTTGGGAGAAGAGGTTCTGGGATTATCTCGTTGAGTGGTTCGGTTGGGAGAAGAGGTTCTGGGATTATCTCGTTGAGTGGTTCGGTTCGGGGAGGAGGCCCTGGGGTTGTCCCGTTGGGCACAGGAGGTCCTTGGGTTGTCCTGTTGGGCAAAGGAAGTCCTGGGGTTGTCCCGTTGGGCACAGGAGGTCTTGGAGTTGTCTTGTTGAGTGGCTCGGCTGGGGGAGGAGGCCCTGGGGTTGTCCCGTTGGGCACACGAGGTCCTTGGGTTGTCCCGTTGGGCACAGGAGGCCCTGGGGTTGTCCCGTTGAGTGGCTCGGTTGGGGGAGGAGGCCCTGGGGTTGTCCCGTTGAGTGGCTCGGTTTGGGGAGGAGGCCCTGGGGTTGTCCCGTTGGGCACACGAGGTCCTTGGGTTTTCCTGTTGGGCACAGGAGGCCCTGGGGTTGTCTCGTTGAGTGGTTCGGTTGGGGGAGGAGGCCCTGGGGTTGTCCCGTTGGGCACACGAGGTCCTTGGGTTGTCCCGTTGGGCACAGGAAGTCTTGGAGTTGTCTTGTTGAGTGGCTCGGTTGGGGGAGGAGGTCCTGGGGTTGTCCCGTTGAGTGGCTCGGTTGGGGGAGGAGGTCCTGGGGTTGTCCCGTTGAGTGGCTCGGTTGGGGGAGGAGGCCCTGGGGTTGTCCCGCTGGGCACAGGAGGTCCTGGGGTGGTCCCGCCAGGAAGTACAAGTAGAAAAGGCAGCGTGGGGGTGGTCCTGCTGAGCAGCAGAGGTGCTGGGGTGCTCTCGCTGGCCGTCTCTGGGGGAACAGGAAAGTTGAGGGTTGCTCTGACGGGTGGTCGAGGCTCTGGGGGTATCCCATTGAGTGACTCTTGAGGGAGAGGTGGCCCAGGGAGTGTCCCGCTGTGTGGACGAGGCCCTGGGGGTGTCCTGTTGGGCAGGTGAGGTCCAGGGGGTATCCCTGTGGGTGATTCGGGGAGGCGAGGTGGCGCGGGGTGTACTGCGCTGTGCCGAAGCGGCCTGGGCTGTGTCCCTTTGTGCAGAGGGAGCCTGGGGGGTGGGGCTCCGAGGTCCGCTCTGTGGCGTGGTGGAGGCAGCCTGGCCAGACGCTAAACGGTGCCGCTCCAAGGAGAAGCCCCCGTCCTCTCCTCGGAGCTTCGCCCAGCGCTGTCCGGCACTCCGGCTCCCTCTGCAGGGGTCTGGAGCGAGAAGAGCGAGGTTAGAGCTAAGGGGAGGGGTGCAGGCAGCGCTCACTCCTTCCTTTGCCCCTGGGACACTTTCTTCTTAGAGGCCTCACTGTCCATACCAAATGACTCCACCCCTGGCCAAAGCTGATCAAAGCCTGGAGACCTCCCTCCAGCCCGGGCCAGGGATTTGAAATTGAGACCCAGTCTGACTCAGCCCACGGTGGGCGGGCTCCAGAGCTGAGGGTCACAAGGTCAGGGGATCCAGAGAGAAGGCAGAGAAGCAAAGCGGAAGTGTACAGCTTTGGCGACAGCCTGTGTGGCCCGCGTGAGCCACAGACGCCCTCCCAGATCTCCTCCCCGCAGCTGGACTCCGGGCAGGTCCCCAATTTCCCCACGTGAGCCTGCGTCACCGCGACAGGTTTACAGCACCTGGTCCCTGCACCAAAGGCGCGCCCAGGGCAGCCATGAGGACCGCAGGGTTGGGGGAGGGCAGCCCCCTGTGGTCCGCCAGCTGGGACTCCTTGGAAAATGCAGCCTCAGGTCCCAGACTCCCCAGCAAGGCGTGCACCTTGCTAGCCTGGCAGTGCGTGACTGCTCCCGACGGCGACAGCTTCCAATCATGCCACACCTGCTGTCACCCTCCACCTGGCTCACCTCTGTCACCCAGGAGTGTTGGGCACCAGGAGAGAAGGGAACAGCACTGTGGTCTTGTCTTGAGGGAGCCACGACCGCCTTCCCTCAAGTCCACGCCCAAGGCCACCTGTCCTCCCCGCCCCAGCTCCGCCCCCTCAGCCCTTCCCTGAATTCCCGCACCCAACACACAACCGAGCACCTTTGTCGTTGCTGCCTGATGGGCCATTGCCCCGCGGCCACCCCTAAATGCAGTCCCAATCCTGCCTCTCTCATACCTCTGTCCCCTCCTCCTCGCTAAGCCACTGTCACCTCTGCCCTGGACAGGGCTGTGTCCCCCACCCCCACCACCATCGTCCTGTCCAAGGAGATTCTCACGGCATTGAGGGAGAAGCTGTCACAGGTTAGAGGAGACGGGATGCAATGCAGTGTGGGCCCGGAGAGGGGTACTGGAAGAAAACCCAGCGGCTGCAGAACGCCTGAGGTTGGGTTAACAGGATGGCGCCCCCGTGAACGCCATCACTTTGATCATTGTCCTCTGACTGTTTGTGACGCTATAACCCGGGGGAAGCGTACAAGGCAAATTCCGTTACCTTTGCCACTCTTCCATAAATCGAAGAGTATTTCTGTATAAACAGTTAAGGCGCAGGGACGCCTCACCAGCTGGGCATGAAGTTCAGGGCTTCCCACGGCCCGCCAGGCTCGGCCCCGCCCTTGCTCGCCCTCCTGAAGCCCCCACCCCCACCCCAGCCTCCAGCACGGTCTCCCCGCAATTCCTCCACGCCACACTTCTCACCCCAGCGCCTCTGCTCCTGCTGCTACCTCTGTCCAAAGCATGCTTCTGCCGTCCTGGCTCCTTCTCAGCCTCGGGTGTCGGCTGGGCGGCAGCAGCCCGCTGCCCTCTCCCTGTGGGCCTAGCTTGTTTCTTTCCCTGCTCTCTCCCCGGCGAGCTCCCCCCGTGTAGCCGGGCCTGGGCTCGTCTTCCCCATCCTATCTCCAGGGCTGGGAAAGCAGTGAGGCCTCAGCCTGCAGTCCCCAGGCCTGGAGTGTGGGTGCTGGCTGAGAGGTGGCCTTGGCCTCCATTCCTGGGGCTTGCAGCTGGCTCAGAGCCCCCAGCCCCAGCGCGGTCCCTTTCCTACCACCCCCCCGCCCCGCCCCACCCCAAGCTGCCTTCGTAGGCACACGAGGCAGGCTCCATGGACATCCCTGGGCACCCTCCGTCCTGTCCCCCCAGCCAGCCGGGCTCTGCGTAGCTGGCCCCACAATGTGCACGTGCTTTGCAAGCTGGGATGTGCCCAGGGAGAGGAGTGTCCAGAGAACTGGCCAATTCCTCCAGGGCCTTGGCTCCGGCTGCAATGCTGCAAGCTGCCGCCAGGTGGACAGTGGTGCCCCCCGCCGTGGCTTAGGCAGGGGAGGGCCCCCACGGCCCACGGCCCACGGCCCAGGCGGTTCAGGGCAAGAAAGCAGGGAGTTAGGAGGCGCCAGAAGGCGACTGGCTCCCCGTATCGTCTGAGTGACGTTTGAAAAGATGGCCCTGGGCACTGGGGGCGGGAATGGACTGGGGGAGGGGGGCCAAGGCTGAGCCGGGGGGGGGGGGGGGATGGCAAGAAGGGGGCGGCCTGGGGCGGCTTTGGAAGGAGGCTCCGGAAACTGCTGATGCCTCAGAGAGCAAGGGCGAGGGGGAGAGCACTGAGCTCTGAGGCCTGAGCCCTGCACTGTGGGCGACCGGGAAACAGGTGTGGAGTGGGGAGCGGGCCGCCAGGCCGAGCCAGCCTGCACCCGCCTTCTCTGCTCTGCTCCTCGAACCCCCATGCCTGTGCACACCCTCAGGTTCCTGCGCTGTCTGGCCACCCAGACCCCAGCGTCCTCCCTCACTCTCCAAACACACCACGTCCACCCGCCCTCCACGGGTGTCAGCTCCACAAAGGCGGGACCGGGCTGGCCTGTTCCCAGCTGTTTCTCCAACACTGGCTGGGGCCTGCACACAGCAGGTGCTCAGCAAACGCTCAGAGTGCAATGTGGCACAGCGCCCTACCCGAGTGGTGAGACCCGTCTTGGAAACCAAGCAGAACTCAGGCGAGAGGGGCTGGCGCTGTAGTGCAGCGGGTTAGGCCGCGGACTGCAATGCCGGCCTCTCATAGCGCCCATATCGGAGTGCCGGTTCGAGACCCAGCTGCCCTGCTTTGTAATCCAGCTCCCTGCTAACGCGCCTGGGCAAGCAGCAAAAGATGGCCCCAGTACCTGGGGCCCTGCCACCCATGTGGGAGACCAAGGTTCAACCAGTGGATGGAAGAGCGCTCGCTCTCTCTCTCCCTCTTGTTCTGCCTTTCCAATAAATGAATAAATTATTATTATTATTTTGACAGGCAGAGTGAACAGTGAGAGAGAGAGGCAGAGAGAAAGGTCTTCCTTTTTGCCGTTGGTTCACTCTCCAATGGCCGCTGCGGCCGGCGTACCGTGCTGATCCGATGGCAGGAGCCAGGTGCTTCTCCTGGTCTCCCATGGGGTGCAGGGCCCAAGCACTTGGGCCATCCTCCACTGCACTCCCTGGCCACAGCAGAGGGCTGGCCTGGAAGAGGGGCAACCGGGACAGAATCCGGTGCCCGACCGGGACCAGAACCCAGTGTGCTGGTGCCGCAAGGCGGAGGATTAGCCTAGTGAGCCACGGCGCCGGCCCTGAATATTTTTTAAATAGAAGAAGTCAGGCATGAAATCAAGGAGTCCCTGGCTTCTGGAAAGACAGCGACTGAGCGTGCAGTGAGTGAGCCGGGGGTCTGGGATGGGGTTCCGGGGCAGCCAAAGGGCAGAGCCGAGCAGGGAAGGGGACCAGCAAAGGAGAGGGGCGAGAGCAGGGAGCGGGCAGCAAGGCGCTGACTCAGCCCGACGCTGGGCCTCACAGCACAGGGCCCGGCTCAAAACCTTGTCCCCCAGGCTCGCAAACCCTGCACAGCCGGCACCGCGCGTGTCCCTCCCTGGTCATCTGCCCTCGGCAACGGGCGCTGCCACCCGCGCAGACACCCAGGCCCCAAGCTGGGACTACGCCCCCTCCTGTGCCACACCCACCTCCGTCCTCTCCTCACCCCACAACCACGGCCCGAACCCGGGTTTCTCCATCTCTCACTGGATGGCTGGAATGGAGACTGGAGGGCAGCACAAACGGTCCTGCTGACCCTGTGCGGTTGGCCTTCCAGGTCATCTGCTCTATCAACTGTCTGTCATCTCTCCCCCCCATCTGTCATCTAGCGAATCTATCACACGCCTTCCTCCCTCTCCCTGTCACCTCTGCCCCACCCCCACCCCAGCCATCTTTGGACCTCTCTTGGAGAGTGGGGTGACGCGACCATGAACCCCCACGCGTCTCATCAGAACAAGGACATTCTCTTTGCCAAGCACAAGGTCACTGTTGCGCCTGGAGCTTAACGCACAGTCCAGATTCAGGTGGCCCAGAGGCCCCGGTAACGCCTTTCACCGCCCCTTCTTCTGTCCCCGGCCCTGCCTCCGCTGCGCCCCAGCCCCCTTTTTGTCTTTCATATAGAGCCTGGTCCGAATGTCCCTCTGCAAAATCGGCCTGCATCTGTCTGATGCCGGTGGGGTGGGGTGCACTCGTGGAAGGGAAGGGACGCCACGTCCTGGCCGGCACAGGCCGTCCCGGGGCACCTGGCGCGCTGCTGGCCCCGCACTGGGGACGCTGTACAGCCACGTGGGTAAGGGGACGCCTGCTTTGTCTCTCCGTCCCTCTAGAATCAATGCAGACTGAGGGGCAGTACTCGGGGCTGAGTGTACTGTTCCCGACAATCTTCCGCCCAGGGGTTTAGCACCTGCTGGACATTCACACCGGAACTGGTTATCCCGATGGGGCCGTGCAGGCCTCCTAGGTGGCTTCCTGTCCTCGGGCCTCACCCTGCTCCAATCCATCCTTTCTGTGTGCCTTGCCCCGGTGCGGTTCTCAAGGCACAAATTCAATCACTCCCCCGCCCCAAAAACCTTCCACAGGAGCCGGCCTTGTGCACAGCGGGTAAAGCCGCCACCTGGAATGCCGGCAGCCCACGTGGGCGCTGGTTAGAGTCCCGGCTGCTCCACTTCCCATCCAGCTCCCTGCTAATGCACCTGAGAAGACAGCGGAGGACAGCCCAAGTCCTTGGGCCCCTGCACCCACGTGGGAGACCCAGAAGGAGCTCCTGGCTCCTGGCTTCAGCCTGGCCCAAACCCTAGCTGTTGTGGCCGTCTGGGGAGTAGAACAGCAAATGGAAGGTCTCTCTCTGTCTCTCCCTCTCTCTCTGTAACTCTGCCTTCCAAATAACTAAAAACATATTTAAAACCACTTCCATGGCTCCCTGCTACTTAGAGGAGACAGGCCAAAGCCCTTGGCTAGGCCCTGAGCCCAGGAGGGCCTGGCTGAACCAACACCCTGCGCTGTGCCTGAGCCGTGTCTGCCATAGAACGGCCACTCACACCCCCAAGCCTTTCCCCGGGGCCCCTCGTCTGGCCAGGAGCCCACCTCTGGGAGAGGGTCTCCCCTGTGCCAGCCCTGCCCCGATTTCCTCACAGCTGTGTCTGGTCCCCCTCCGTCCTGGGCTCCTTGAGGAGGTCCTGGGCCTCCCGGTGTCCCCAGTGTCCAGCGCCCCTGTGATGGACGGCCAAGTGCTGCAGGAGCCAGGGCTGCCACGCCGGCCCGGCCCCCGGCCCCGAATGCCGTCGGTGATGGAGATGCCAGCCCCGGAGGCCACACAGGGCAGCGGGGCTCGAGGACTCCCGCTCGGGGACTCGGAACACAGGCTCACGAGCCGGTGAGCTGCCGACCGACGCTGCCGGCTTCCGCAAGCCTGACCACCAGCGCCACCCCGGCTTCCCTCGGGGAATCGCTTCTCCCTCAGAATCAGGCTGTGAGGGGTGTCCAGGGGTTGCCCCATAGCACCCAGGGACGCAAAGCACCTACCCCATGTCCCAGGGAGAGCCCCTCCTGGGACGTTAACTACCTGGATTGGGGGATTGTGCCCTCCCTGGGGGTGCTGATGAGCAGGCGGACTGCAGCCGGGCCCTGCGGGCAGCCCTCGTGCTGCTTCCTGTGGAGGGTCTGGCTGAGCATGACGCCCTAACAGACGTCTGATGCTGCCCGAGCACCAGATCCAGCCGTACCTGAAACCGCGTCAGCTCCTCCCTAGACGTTTCACTGATGTCAGTCCACTGGGCCCAGCCAGACTCTGTCCCTCGCAACTTGAAGATCCTAACCCAGCAGTTGGGAGGTGACGTACGTGGAGCAGGTGGCAGGTCACACGCCAGCTGCTCCATAATAATGTGGACCTGTGCCACCAAGGCGAGCCCTGCCCAGGTCCCAGATGCCAGCGAGGTGGCAGCTGGGGACCCCAGGCCGTCCCTACGTGACAAACGGACTCACCTTCCTTTCTCTGGCCTGCAGCGTCTCCTCCCGCAGGGGCCCTGGCGACCCTCCGGGCACCGTCAGTGCTCGGTGCCTCCTGCAGCCTCCGAGGGATCATCACGGGCAGCCGGGCCCAGCCGGGGACACCCTCCTGCCTCTCCTCCGAGTCCCAGTCCTGCCGCGGAAGGCGGGGGGGGGGGGGGGGATGTGGGGATGGAGAAGGGACCCAGAGCCTGCAGGCCCTCCCGACGGGCAGAAGGAAGGAAAGGCACGGACATTCAAGGAGCGCTTGCTATAGGCTGGGCTCCCCACAGGTGCCGCAGGGCTACCCTCGCTCAACCCCGGGAGGCGCGCGTGCGCGGAGAAGCCAAGAACTTGGCCAAAGCCACAGCCGGGACTCAAGGGCCCAGGGAGGAGTGGGCTTAGATCCCAGCCCCACCGCCTCAAGTAAACTGCCCCTCCCCATGGGCGGCTGTGATGCCCTCAGCCTCTGTGGGTAGGAGGAGCCCTGGCTGGTGCGGGGGTGCGGGGGGGGGGCTCCTGCTCAGCAGCACTGCCCCGCCCCTCTCCTGTGGGCGGGGCTCATAGGAGGCCTTTCCTATCATGATCACTGGAGGGAATCTCCCCGGGGCCCCTTCTCCTTGCCAAGCCCGCACCGCCTGCTCCCGCTTCTCTGTGCCTTGGGACCCTGGGCCAGGGCCGTGGCCGGGCTCACTAACCACCCCGCCCCTCCCCTGGACGCCGCGGCCCAACACCTGGGCCTGCAGTGACCCGAGAGCATGGGGTAGACCAGGCTGCTGGGGACTGAGCACAGGCTCCGGTCCCCGACTCGGCTTCCCCCAGCCCCTGTGCCCAGCAGACTTGCAGCCCGCCCGCCCGGGGCCACTCTGTCCCTCCGGGTGGTTGGTCGGAGCAAGGGGGGGCTGCAGGGGCTGCTCAATGCCAACTCACTGGTGTGTGAGGTACCAGTCCTGTCTGGAAGTTTGGTGGCACCCAGGCCCGGGGGGGGGAGGGTGGAGGGGTTCCCCGGCTCCCACCCCCCGCTCACCACAGAGGACGAGTTGCTGGTGTCATCAGGGGAGCTGCCGTCAGCGTCGGGGCCCTGGTCACAGCTGCCACCTGGGGAGGACGTCGGGCCCTCCAGATAGGGCAACGCACCGGGTTCCTGGCTCCCGCTCCGGGGCACAGCTGCGGGGGCCCCTTCAGGGAGCCCTGCTGACGGGGATGGGCCCCTGGGGGAGGAGACAGACCCAAAGCAAGAGAGAGGTAAGGCGTGACACCGCTCCCAGGGTCACACACACACGCTCTCTCACGGGGACCAGGAACGGGGAAGCTGCTCCTTAGCCCATCGGCACCTGCACTGCGCTCCCTGCACGGTCACCTCCCGCCCCAACGGCCCCGCTCTGCGGTAAGGAAGATGACGCCCATTTCACAGATAAAGAAAGCGAGGCTCAGAGAGGGTAAGAGACGGACCAAGGTCACAGCGCTGGGCAAGGGCAGAGCTGGGTGGTGACCTGAGGCTGCTGCCCCAGCCCCAGCCTCGGCCGTTGTTCCTGGAGCAGGTGTGGGGCTGCCACGCTCGGCGAGACTAACACAGGCTCCCCACGCAGACACCTCCAAGGGCGGGGACAGGGCCACCACCCGCATGCCGGGGTGGGAGCTGCCAGTCTCGATGGCCAGGGGCTCAGACAGGCTTACGGCTGGAGTAGCCCCGAGAGTGGCCCATGGAGGGTCCCCCAAGATGGGGACGGGTGATCCGGGGGCCAGGCGCTGTGGGCCGCGAGGTGAGCCCATCAGAGCTCAGGATTGAGCCCCGGCTACTGCGCTGCCGATCCAGCTCCCCGCTGACGCCCCGGGAGGCAGCAGTGATGGCCCAAGTGCTTGGGCCCCTGCCACACACGTGGGAGACCCGGATGGACGTCTGGGCTCCTGGCTTCAGCCTGGCCCGGCCCTGGCTCGCAGGAGCATTTGGGGGATGAACCAGTGGATGGAAGAGTGCTCTCACGCGCTCTCTCTCGCTCTCTTGCTCTGCCTTTCAAGCAGATGAAAACAATCAAGCATTAAGAAAAAACAGTTCTGAAATTACAGAATTTTGGGACACGCTACTCGCTTCTCCACCACCCCCCCCAGCCAAAAACAGCAATGCAAGCTTGCAAACTAAAGACCCTGACAAGTCCTGCACCAAGACCTTCCACTTCATTAGCCCAGACTCCCTGAAACACTTGGACAGCACAGCCGTTCTGTGTTTTCAAAATAACGCCCCCGGGAGGAGCACTTGTTTGCAAAGCAATGCTGACAACTCCATCCTCCTTCTTCCACAAGCAAAGAGGCAAAGCAGAGAAAAATGGGGTGGCTTGCCCAAGGTCCCATATGGGGACAGACTGAAGCCTTTTCTTCGTCTCAGGCCGGTCCTTTCCAGGCTGCCATGACCCCAAAGCGGCCTGGGGGCGGAGGAAGCCCAGAGCCCATCGCAGCAGCCCCAGGTGGGCGGGGGACGGCGGTGCCCCGTGCAAAAGGAACCAGGAAATGTGATCGGCCGCGAGCCACACTCAGTGCAGGGTAGGTGCAGCGCTGTGCTACGCTTGGGAGCAAGGCTGAGCTAGGTCCTAGAGTGCACAGGGCCCTGGGAAAGACAGCCGGGGCGGGGGCGGGGGGCTCGGAGGCCAGGGTGCAAGCAGAGACCGGCTCTGGGCTCCCCCAGTGAGCCCAGGGCACATGCCCGTGGCCTCTGTGCCCAGGCGCTGAGGACTGAGCACGTGACCCATGCCAGCAGCTGTTACAGAGAGAGGCTGCCGCTGGGAGAAGGCGAGGCTATCCCACCCTGCCCCAGACCCTGGGGCTCCTCCACCTACCTCTCAGGCTCCGGCCTGAGACCCTGGTCCGCCACAGACTGGAGGCTGGGAGCAGAGGTGCCGGGCGGGTCCTCCGGCGTGGGTGGGCCTCGGGGCAGGTCGCAGTAGAGCGACTCGGCGGCGTTCCTGGGCTCCTGGGCCAGAGTTGGAGAGAGGAGGCAGCTCAGCGCCCACGTGGGGGCTCCCTCCCCCTGCACAGCCCCTCCCAGCGCTGGGCGGGGTGGGCGAGCCTCCAGGCATCTCCGGGGATCTCACACTTCCCGGGAGCGCCCCTTGGGACCCAGCCAGAGGCTGGCGGGGCATCTGGTGTGTGCACGCACGCGTGTGCAGGTATGTGTGTGCACAGAGGCTTGTGTGTTTGGAGCACATGTGTGCACATGCGTGCAGGTGGATGCACGTCCAGCAGGTGCACCACTGCCTGTATGCAGAAGTGCACGCAAGTTCATTGGCAAGTGCGGGCGCAGGCGAGGGCTTGGGAAGGGGCAGTGCATGGCGGGACCCTGAAGGGACAGGGAGAAGGAAGAGGTAGACAATGGAGGAGATGGGAAAACAAGAGCTCGGAGCAGAGTTGCCCACTACAGGAGAGGTGGGGGGTTCAGGGTCAAGGCCTCGGGGATGGGGGTGGGGGCCTGAAACTGGCTGCCCGCTCCTCTCTCCTCCCTCCAACGCTCAGCAAGGTCACACCTGCGGAGGCTGGTGCTGGGCTCACCCGGGGGGAACGGCTGCTCACCTCCAGGAGGGCCCCCCCAGCCCTCCCCACCTCCCGGGAGTGGCAGGGCCCTCCCCTGGCAGTGGGGAAAAGCGGCCCTGGCACCCCGTGCCCCGCCTCCTCTCGGGTTACCTGGGCAGTAGGCTCCCGCGGCGGCGGCTGGCGGCTGTCAGCACCCTCGTCCCCGGGGGGCTCAGGCTCAGGCCCCCGCGCTGCCGCCCTCCCAGGCCCTGACTCCAGGCTGTGCGGCGGTGGCAGCGGGCGACGCAACGGAAACCTTAGAGGGGCCGGCTCCGGGAGCAGGGGCCCCTCATTACTGTTTCATAAGCCGGGGCCCAGCCAAGAACAATGCAGGACACGAAACCGTGGGAACCTGATCCCCACGGCTCACCTGAGCGCCAGGGCGGGGCGGGAGCCTAGGCACAGGCTCCCCGGGGACCCCAGAGCCCAGGGCCGAGGCCACGGTCTGGCCAGCACCCCGGGGTGAGCACAGGCTGTCCGGGTTCCAAGGCCAGCGGCGGCGGGGCCTGGGCAGTGCCAAGGAGTGGGCCCGGTGTCTGCCGTCGCATCCCGGCCAGAGGAGGCCCGTCCGGGTTCTGTTTCCCTCTGCCCTGCAGCCTGATTCTGATCAGAGCTCGCAGCACGAGGTGTCAGATCCACAGCCCGGCCTGGCGCCTTGGCTACCCAGGGGACGGCACAGTGTGACTGAGGAGGGAGGCACATGGGGCGTGGCCGAGGGTCCCAAGCCAGCCAGGCAGGCCCGGACCCCTGCCGTGACCCCAGCCCTTGCGCTAACACAGCAGCGGGCTCGGCCTCCAGTGCCCGGCTCTGATTTCCCGTCTGGCGGGTCAGCACGGGCTCTGGCCTCCCGTGGTCCTCGGAGCCCCCGCCTGGCTCTTCCACTTCCCGGCTCGGTGACCCCAACCCACTGGCCTCCCCTCTCTGTGCCTCCTGTTCCCATCTCTGAAATGGACACGGAGGCAGCTGAGCCCCCGGCTGGGGGACTCCTCTGCGGGCCTCCGTCAGCTCTCCAGAGCCTGGTGATCCCAGCGCCCGCCTCCTAGGCGTGGCACGGAAATTACACTCGGCCGTGACGGGCTCACGGTGCTGTCTGGTCCGTACCTCTTAAATATAATCAAGGGGGAGGGGGCTGGCGCTGTGGCATAGTGGGTAAAGCCGCTACCTGGAAGAGCCGGCATCCCACACAAGCGCCGGTTCAAGTCCTGGCTGCTCTACTTCCGATAAAGCTCTCTGCTATGGCCTGGGAAAGCATCGGAAGATGACCAAAGTGCTTGGGCCCCTGCACCCACATGGGAGAGCTGGAAGAAGCTCCTGGCTTCAGATCAGCCCAGCTCCCACCATTTCAGCCATTTGGGGAGTGAACCAGCGGATGGAAGATCTCTCTATATCTCTCCCTGTGTGTGTGTATGTGTGTGTGTGTGTCTTTCTGTAGCACTGCCTTTCAAATAAATAAATAAAACCTTAAAACAGGCAAACAAGAAATATAATCCAGCAATGGAGAGACATTTTCTATTTTTTTTTATTTGGCAGGTAGAATTATAGACAGTGAGAGAGAGAGAGAGAAAGGTCTTCCTTCCGTTGGTTCACTCCCCAAATGGCCGATACAGCTGGAGCTGTGCCGATCCAAAGCCAGGAGCCAGGTGCTTCTCCTGGTCTTCCATGCGGGTGCAGGGCCCAAGCACCTGGGCCATCCTCCACTGCACTCCCTGGCCACAGCAGAGAGCTGGCCTGGAAGAGGAGCAACCAGGACAGACTCTGGCGCCCCAACTGGGACTAGAACCCGGGGTGCCGGCGCCGCAGGCGGAGGATTAGCCTAGTGAACCACAGCACTGGCCATGAACTTGGACATTTTTGCACCAAAATGCACATCCTTTAATTCCTTTTGCCACAGGCTTTCTGGCGTATGCTCAGGTGTCAGAACCAGACCCACTGAGCTCCAGGAGGCTCTGGCAGCCCCCCAGAGTTCAGTTTGAGCCCCAGTGTCAGGGGGAGCCAGCTGGGAACTGCCCAGCTCTGTCCAAGCGGGGGACACTTCTTTAAAAATACTATTTATTTGAAAGGCAGAGTGACAGAGAAAGGGGAAGAAACAGAGAGAGAGAGAGAGAGAGAGAGAAAGACAGACAGAGAGATCTTCCCTCCTCTAGTTCACTCCCCAAATGGCCATGACGGCCATGGCTGAGACAGACCAGAGCCAGGAGCCAGGAGCCAGGAGCTCCTTCCTGGTCTTTCAAGGGGGTGGCAGGGATCCAAGCACCTGGGCCATCTTCTGCTGCTTCCCCAGGCAAGGAGCTGGACAGGAAGCGAAGGTGGGACTTGAACCGGTGCTCCGGCACGGGATGGCGGCCTCGCAGGCTGCCCCACAATGCTGAGCACTGCGAGATGCTTTTTTTTTTTTAACAAAAATACATTTTTTTTTGCTCCAAATGTTTGAATTCTGTGACCTAAAGCTAGGGGCCAACAGAGCCAAGCTTCCAGAATCCTTAGAGGAAAATATGGCTAATGTGGTTCCCAGGAGATTTGTTATGACAGAGAGACGGGGAGACAGAGAGTGGAGCAGACAGAGCAAGCGGAGTGGGGGGGTGGGGGGCCCCAGGGCTCCCTGGGGAAGCAGCAGGAGGGATCCACCCATTCCTTCAACACCCAACCAGGAAGCACCAGGGGGCGGGCTCCGGCGAGGCAGTAGGGGTGTCAGGGAGGCAGAGAGAAGCGCCAGGACACAGAGAACTGGCTGGGGACACAGTCACTCTCCTCGCACTTGCAGGGGCGTTTCACAAGCTGGGGTCACCACGGGGGCCACGGGCACCCCGAGGAAGTGGAGGGCTGCACACGAGCACCCCTCCCTTGATCTTGAGAGCACCTGTGGAGGGCCCCACGCCCTCAGGGCACGCATCGCCATCTCCAGGGGTGCTCCCTGCAGCCCGTCACCTGCCGTGGGCCTCCCCCTCCACCTCCTCCTCTCCCCCACTGCACTCTCTCCCACAAGCACGGCCTTGGCCGGGGCTGGAACCCGATGACAGCCGAGCCCCTGAGCTCCAGCTCCGAGCGGTCCACGGCTCCCTGTGGGCACCTTGCGCTCACGACGCCCCCAGCAACTCCAGACCTCCCTCCCATTCCCCACGCCAAGTGTCCTGCCTGGAGAGACAACTTAGAGTCCACCACGGGTCCACCCCACCCCCAAATCCTGCGAATTCCTCTCCTACTGGATGAGTTTGGAACCTGTGCACTCGCCTCTGTCTCCCAGCTCCTGTCTCCCCTGGCACAAGCCAGTGCCTGCGCTGCTTCTGCCCGGGTCACCCCGATTCACTCTGCCCTCCCTGGACTCCACTCTGCACGGCGGTCGGAGTGACTGTGCAAACTGCAGGCGAACCACCTCCCTCCCTGTTTACAATCTGAGCTCGGCACAGCGGTGAGGACGAAGTTCGGGACGCCCACACCCACATCAAGGTGGGGGGCCTGGGTTCGAGTCCTGACTCTACTCCCAGTTTCCGCTTCCTGCTGGTGCACACCCAAGTAGTTGGGTCCCTGCCACGCACATGTGAGACCCGGATGGAGTTCTGGGCTCCTGGCTTTGGCCTGGCCCATCCCTAGCTGTTGCAGACATTTGGGGAGCGAACCAGTTAATAGAAAGTCTCTGTGGGCCAGCACTGCGGCACAATGGGTAAAATGGCCGCCTGCGAAGCCAGCATCCCATATGGCCGCCGGTTCGAGTCCTAGGTGCTCCACTTCCGATCCAGCACCCCCTGCTATGGCCTGCAGAAGATGGCTCACGTGCTCGGGCCCCTGCACCCATGTGGGAGACCCGGAAGACACTCCTGGCTCCTGGCTTCCGCCTGGCCCAGCCCTGGCCATTGTGCCCATTTAGGGAGTGAACCAGTGGATAGAAGACTTCTCTCTCTTGTCTCTCCCTTTCTAACTCTTTCAAATAAATAAATATAATTAAAAAAAATCTTTCTCTGTCTCTCCCTTTCAAATAAAAGGCAAACAAACACAGAATGAAAAATCTAAAAAACCTTCAGTGGCGCCCCACGACTCTCAGGACAAAAACCTCCACCCCTCAGCGCCTCCACAAAGCCGCGTCCGGCCGTCCTCCTGCTTCCTCTCTGACTTCCCTCCACCCCTCCAGTGTGCCGCCCTCTTTCTGCCCCAGGGCCTCTGCACGTACTGTTGCTGTCCTCAGAGCTAAAGCTTGCACAGCCTTCACCAAGCAGCTGACCTGTGACCTCCTTGGAGGGACTTTCCCCAGGACCTGTCACTGTCATGCCACCTGCTGCACCTCTGTGACAATGATCGCAACAATCACTCACCAGATGACTTTGCTACTGTGCACTTCCTAGGCTGAGCTACAAGCCCCAGGGGGCCAGGAACGTGTTTGTCCTACGTGCCGCTATTTCCCCCACGTCTAGCATCGTCTGGGCACCTTTTAAGTTCCTGTTCAATATGTATGAATATGGTGGGAATTGGCGGACTGTGATTAGAACCCGGACCTCTTGGAATCCAGGGGCCTCCTGTTCCTGCGGGCTGTCCCCCCACGTGCTCGGAGAAGATGACCTCACAGGGCCCGCAGGCTTCTGGTCCCTGCGCTTGGGAAGTTCAAGGGACTTGACGGTGCCAAGACAAGCAGAGAGGCACCGCCAGGGGTTTGGCATCGGGGCACAAGGGTTTGAACCTCAGCCTGCAATGCCCACATCCCATATGGGCACCAGTTCCAGTCCTGGCTGCTCCACCTCTGATCAGGCTCCCTGCTAAGGCGCCTGGGAAAGCAGCAGAAGATGGTCCAAGTGCTTGGGCCCCTGCACCCACGTGGGAGACCTGGATGGAGCTCCTGGCTCCTGGCGTCAGCCCCAGCAGTTGCAGCCATCTGGGGAGTGAACCAGCAGATGGAAGACCCCTCTCTCTCTCTCCATCTGTCCCTCTCTCTGTCACTCTGCCTTCCAAAGAAATAAATAAATCTTTTACGAAAAAGGACTCTCCAGGGGCCGGCGCCGTGGCTCACTTGGTTAATCCTCCGCCTGCAGTGCCAGCATCCCATATGGGCTCCAGGTTCTAGTCCTGCTTGCTCCTCTTCCAGTCCAGCTCTCTGCTGTGGCCCGGGAGTGCAGTGGAGGATGGCCCAAGTCCTTGGGCCCTGCACCCGCATGGGAGACTGGAAAGAAGCACCTGGCTCCTGGCTTTGGATCTGCGCAGCGCCGGGGCATGGCAGACATTTGGGGAGTGAACCAATGGAAGGAAGACCTTTCTCTCTCTCTCTCTCTCTCTCTCTCTCTCTCTCACTGTCTATAACTCTACCTGTCAAATTAAAAAAAAAAAAAAAAAAGGCCAGGAAGGGGGAGGACAGGACACAAGTACGGAAGAGTTGTGTGTGGCTGGGCTGAGCAGTGCCCCAGCCCCGCGTGGGAAGCCTGCTGCCCCCGCCTGACCTGGGAGCAGTCAGAAGCCAGAGGACTTCGAGCCAAGGTCACGCATCAGGTAAACGGCAGGCCTAGGTCTCCGAAGCTGAGCGGCAGCCCCGGACCGCGGCCACGGCTCAGAGCCCGACCTCTGCAGGAAGCTGGCTGCCAGGCCCTGGGAAGCCTCAGAGCCCGCTGGGAATGGCGGAGCCCGGGGGCGGGGCTGGAGGGGCCTTTGGAGACTCCGGGTGCCCTGCTTCCCGTGGCGCGTGTGCCGGGTGCTCTGGCTCACCCCAGCCAGGGCGCAGCATCAGACCACGCAGTCACACGGGGAGAAACTGACTTCTCTTCCACTCCTTCAATACCTTCAAGAAGACCGTCTGCCGTGGGAGCCCCATGGGGCTAAGACCTGCTAAGTGACAAAGATGACACCCAGAGGCTCACGCCCTCAGCAGACAGCTCCCTCAAGGCCGAACTTCATGACATTTCCATTTTGCTTTTTCTAGGTTTCTCTCTCTCTCTCTCTCTCTCTCTCTCTCTCTCTCTCAGGTTTATTTTAATTTATTTATTTATTTTTTGACAGGCAGAGTAGACAGAGAGAGAGAGAGACAGAGAGAAAGGTCTTCCTTTGCCATTGGTTCACCCTCCAATGGCCGCCGTGGATGGCGTGCTGCGCTGATCTGAAGGCAGGAGCCAGGTGCTTCTCCTGGTCCCCCATGGGGTGCAGGGACCCAAGCACTTGGGCATCCTCCACTGCACTCCCGGGCCACAGCAGAGAGCTGGCCTGGAAGAGGGGCAACCGGGACAGAATCCGGCGCCCCGACCGGGACTAGAACCCGGTGTGCCAGCACCGCAAGGTGGAGGATTAGCCTATTGAGCCGCAGCGCCGGCTATTTATTTATTTGAAAGTCAGAGTAACAGAGAGGGAGAGACAGAGAGAGAGAGAGAGATCATCTATCTACTTGTTCACTCCCCAAATGGCCACAATGGCCAGGGCTAAGCCAGGCGGAAGCCAAGAGCCAGGAGCTTCTTCCGGTTCTCCCACGTGGGTGCAGGGGCCCCAGCACTTGGGCCATATTCCACTGCTTTCCCAGGTGCATTAGCAGGGAGCTGGCTTCAAAGTGGAGCAGCCGGGACGGGAACTGGAGCCCACTGGAGCCCACGTGGGAGGCCGGCGCTGCAGACAGAGGTTTTACCTGCTGTGCCACGGCGCCAGCCCCTTTCTTTTTTAAGCCTTCTACACATAGAGTTTTATCTTAATTTCTATTTGTGGTAGCGAGGCAACGTTTTGTCCCAGCATAAACACAGGGAGGGTGTGACAGATTCGATGAGGAGGCAACACAAATCGGCTGCCAGTGGCCAGCTCCCTCCCCCGCGCCACGCTGGCCCACCCCCCAGGAGTGAACGCTGGCCCACCTGGTGCCGTGCTCTGGGCGCCCCGTCACGGAGGCAGTTTCCACAGCTGCTCTGGGCGGGCACGCTGGCCTCAGAGTGTTGACGTGGGACGCTCCCAGCCACCTCCTCCATGGCCTGTGGGTCAGGCCGGGCGGCCCCTGTGATCCAACAGCTGACCTGGAGAGAGGCGAGGGGAGGCATGGCCCAGACGGCTGGCTGGCCACCCACCTGCACCCCAGCCCGTTTCCCCAGGCCAGGGAAATCAGGCTATCCATCCATTCATCTGTTCAGCTGCCCACGCAGCAAACACTTCGCGTCTTCTAAGCACCCAGGCGCTCGGCCAAGCGCTGGCCGTGCCTTCTCCCTCATCGCCAGGTCGCTCGTGTGCACCCAAGACCCCGCACTGCCCCTCCTGGGGCGCTCTTAAGAATGCAGATTCTCAGCTCCCTCTCCCAACGTGGCTGTGAGGCCAGGGGACGGGCATTTCAAACAAGCTCCAGGTGATTCCAGGCCACCCCAAAGTCTGAATGGGGTGGCTTATAGTCACCCTGCCTTGCAGATCAAATGCATGCCAGTTTCAGTTCAGGGCCACCGAGGCTCAGAGAGGCTCCCTGAGTCACTTAAGTCCCATCCAGGAATCCACCTGCTCCTACCCGCTCTCTTGGGGAAGGAAGAGGGGGTGCTGCGAGACAGGGAGTGAGGCAAAGGGCTGCCCAGGCGTCTTCAGAGTTGAGGACCAAGTCTTGGACAAAAATGAATGCCCTCAAGTCACAACAAACCCTAATGCCTTGGCTTGAGCCCAGGGCCCTCTGGTCTCCCTTCTGGGTGCCCTGGAGCCCACCCTGGGCCAGGAGAGTGACATAAAGAGGCCCCGCCCACACAGAGCCCCAGGAGAAGGCTGGGGAGTTGGTGCATCCCAAACTCCCACAGCACACAAGCATCTGCTGGCGTCCCCAGCTCACACGCCCCTACCTGTCCTCACCGCTTGAGTTCCCCCCAAACTGTCCCAGGGGGTTAGGCCTTCCCTGACAATCTCAGCTGGTTCTTCCACTGTGGCATGTGGACAGATGAGCCAGAGGGAACCGGTACAGTGCCCGGGGCGGTGGCCCCGGGGGGTCGTGGATTCTCCTCTGACAGCAGCACACACACCCACCCGCTCGCCCTTCCCCACTCCTGACTGTGGAAGGGCCCGGCATCTGTCCCGCCCCGCCTGGGCGGTTCTTCTCTGTGCGGCCACATTCAGGAGCATCGCCTCTGAGGCCGAAGACGGCGCATCTCCTGGGGGGCGGGCAGGGGGCTCTGCGCACGTGCCCCTCGCTCACGCCCGTTTGCTCTGCCACGCCCGACCGGCCGGCAGAATGCTCATCTGAAACACTCTTTAGGTGTGGCTACACCAACAGGAAGCCCTCGGCGGATCCGGGGGATGGACCCCCGACTTCACGCCAGCCAGCCAGTCTCGGTCCCTCCCCGTCTCCCCCCGCCCTCCACCTGCCTCCCCTCGGCCTCCCCTTTGCCTCCCCTCTCTGCCTCCGCTTCCCAGCCGCCCAGTACTAACCTCGGCTCAGGTTTCCACGCGCCGGGGCTGCGGCGGTGGGAGCGCCAGGGTCACGGCCTCCCTGTTTCAACAATGAATCAGAACCTCGCCCGGGAGGTGGAGGGAAACCACGCCCCTGCCGCTTTCGCATAGGCTCTCTCGGGGTGCTTCATTTACATGAGGACGGTGGGATTGGACCAGCCGAGGACGGGGCGGAGCGGAGGAGGGCGGTGCCCAGATGCCTCGAGCGCGGGACTCGGAGCACGTTCTGCCTGGGCTGCCCCGTCTCTCACCCTGTCCGGGTCCCCCGGGACCCTTAAGGGGGCTGCACTGGCGAATCTGGCCTCTTCTGACCTGTTTCCCGGGGGTGTGTCTTGTCCACAGTCCTCTAGAGGCTGGCTTCAGCCCAGAACTTGGGCTAGAGACTTCACCTCTGCTGAATGGGAATAAAACGAAATAGCGCGATGTAAAAAGCTAAGAAGTGTCTCAGAACAGTTCCAGGCACCGAGCAAATGCTGCATGGGTGAGCAGTACTAAGTAAAGCACAATAGTAAGATTGCTAACGCAGCGGGGCCCTTACATCTTTAATCTTTATTTTGTTTATTTGAAAGGCAGAGAGTTACAGAGAAAGGGACAGAGAGCGAGATCTTCCATCCACTGGTTCACACCTCCTCCCTAATGGCCACACTGGCAGGAGCTGGCACAGGCAAAAGCCAGGAGCTTCATCCAGGTCTTCCAAGTGGGTGGCAGGGGCCGAGCACTTGGGCCATCCCCCACCGCTTTCCCAGGTGCATTAGCAGGGAGCTGGATTGGAAGCAGAGCAGCTGGGACTTGAACCAGCAGCCACATGGGATGCTAGCGTTGCAGGCAGCAGCTTAACCCGCTATGCCACAGTGCCGGCCCAACCTGGAGGAACAAATATCACAATCCCCTTTCCACAGCAACTGACCACAAGAGAAGTTAGCTAAGTTGCCAATGTCACATAGCTGGCAGGTGGCAGAGCCAGGACTAAGACCCCAGGCTCCGCGCTCTACAGAGCCCGTTCCTTTGCTGGTCTCTCAGAGGCTCACATGTGCCTGGTATTCCCGGCAAGCCAACAGGACACTGAGAAGGTTCGAGAAACAACCGTGTGTGCGCTAAGGTTTGCTGTCATGGCTCCCTGAGCGCCACACACGACAGCAATCTACGCAACTGTTAGGTACTGCAAGTGAGCCAGAATGAACCTAAGGTCCTTGAGGATGTGTGTGGGAGGCTATGTGAGGAGGGACTCCAGCATCCGGGGCTCTGGTATCCTGGACACATCCTGCAGGGCCACCAATGCCAGGCCTGTGTGGCGCATGAGACAGAAAAATCCAAGTTAGAGGGGCTGGTGTTGTGGGCAGTGAGTTAGGCCCCTGCTTGCAACGTTGGTGTCCCATGCTGGAGCACAAGTTCAAGTCCTGGCTGCTCCGCTTCCAACCTGGCTTCCTGCTAATGCACCCAGGAAGGCAGCAGATGATGGTGCACGTCTTGGGCCCCTGCCGCCCGTGTGGGAGATCCAGATGGAGTCCCAGGCTCCTGGCTTCGGCCTGGCCCAGCCCTGGTCATTGTGGCCATTTGGGGAGTGAACCAGCAGATGGAAGACCTCTCTCTGTGTGTCTCTCTCTCTAACTCTGCCTTTCAAACGAATACTTTTTTAAAGATATGTGAGTCGAATGTGGTTCCTGCAGAGATGAGGAGCCCACTGAGCGGCCAGCAAGGGTCTGGCTAAACCACAGCTTCTCAACAAGACCCGCGTGGTTTCTCTGCGACGGAGGCCCAAGTCCAACACCCAGCCCAGTACTTCCTGCTGCGTGATCTTGACAAAGTCTCTTGACCTCTCTGAGCCCGGGGTGGAGCAGGTGCTTGATTTGAGGGTTTGGTTTTTTTTAGATTTTGTATTTATTTATTTGACAGGTAGAATTACAGACAGTGAGAGGGAGAGACAGAGAGAAAGGTCTTCCTTCCATTGGTTCACTCCTCTAATGGCCACAACAGCCAGAGCTGCTCAGATCTGAAGCCAGGAGCATCCTCCGGGTCTCCCATGTGGGTGCAGGGCCCAAGGACTCGGGCCATCCTCCACTGCTTTCCCAGGCCACAGCAGAGAGCTGGACTGGAAGAGGAGCAGCTGGGACTAGAACCGGCACCGCAGATGGAGGATTAACCTACTGCGCTACGGCACCAGGCTCATTGATTTATGTTTGAAGCAGAGTAGCCCCATCATTAGCTCAACCTAGAACCAGCTCAGGCTGGTGTTCCTAACAGTTGATTCAATACTTACGGAGGGGCAGCTTGGTGGTGCAGCAGGCAAGCCACTACTTGCGATGCCAGCGTCCATCCGAGCAAAGCCCAGGGACGGCGAGGGAATGTGGCTGCAGGTCCAGGGGACAGGGACAGTGAGGCGGGCGTGGGTGAGCCAAGGGAGCCGAGCTTCGGAGCTGCCTGGCTGGGCCCCTCCGTGCACGTGCGGCAGGGTGGGCAGCGACCAGTGTTCCAGAAGGAGACGGGGGCGGGGCCGCAGAGCAGGGGTGGACGGGGGCGGGGCCGCAGAGCAGGGGTGGGCGGAGAGGAGGGAAGGGGCTCCTGGAGGCTCCAGACAACCAGAACCATCTCCCCACCCCACCCCTGCACTAGTGGGAGGGGCTGCTCGCTTTGTCCCCTCCTCATAAAAGGGAAGTTCAGGCTCAAGCAAGTCACCCTAAGCCACTGGTACTTGGTGACAGAGCCCTGGGGGACAGGTCAGAGGTCAGGGCGAAGGCAGGCACAGGCACCCTGCTCCCTGGCCCCCGCAGATTCCGCTCCCCTTGGCTGGGACCTCCTCCCCAAAAGCCCGGGGGAGCACACGTGTCACCTGTCCCGGGAGTGGCGCTCCCTGCCCCGCAGGCCCTGGGCCTGGCACCTGCTGGCGTGGGGGCAGGAGAAGGCACAGGCACGGGGTCCCCTGAGGCGGTGCCTGAGGGGCTGCCCTGGGAAGTCAGCACCCCATGCGGCCGGGCCTGCTTTTCCTAAAGCCAGAAATCTACACTTTCATACAGAAACTCAGAAATAAAAAGTCTTCATTTATTTGAAAGGCACAGAGACAGGAGAGGGAGAAGGGTCTTCCCTGGTTCGCTCCCCCAAAGACGGCAACAGCTGGGGCAGGACCACGAGGAATTCCCGAGCCCCGAGCTCCCACCGTCTCCCGGGCACCACGGGAGTGGGTGTCCCAATGGCGACTTCACCACGCTGCCAAGCGCCTGTCCCAGTCTCAAAAACAACACTGTCAAGTCCCATTGCTTTCAAGCACTGCATGAATCAAACCGATTTTCAGGCCTTCTACACAGAGCACCTCTGAAACTGCGAACCACAGGGTCCCACTCCCTGGGTGATGGCTCAGCGCCACCCCTTCCAGGAAGCCCTCCGCGGCCTCCTCAGCCCCAGGTAAGGGTTCACTCTGCAGGTCTCCCATCTCTCCTGGGGTCTCTCCCTCCTTGTGTACCTGTGAGTGGCTTGTTTCACGCTTCTGCCTCCGTGTGGGTGCTTTCCCAGGGCTCGGGCACCACCTTTTGGATTCTTCCCTGGGGCCAGTCACGGTGCAAGTCCCAGCTCCCACCGAGAGGCCGCGAGCAGTCAGAATCCAGCTAAGCCCCTCGAGGACCGCCTCAGCGTGCCTCACCCGCAGAAGGAGCTTAGCGGCACATATACACCGCGCGGCCACTGTGGAACCCAGGGAGGTAAAGCACGCAGGTGACCGTCACCATCAGGACCCCTGCCTAGGCCCGCCCTGGTCCCCACAGTCACACTCCCTGCAGGGCAGGGCCCACTGTCTCGCTCGCCAGGGGATCCCCCGTGCCTGAACTCAGCGTCCGGGACTGTCTGCCGGCCTGAGCAGAGGCCCCCCTGGGGTACCTGCTGCTGGGTTCCGGTGCCTCCAGTTCACCCAGGGAGATCGCAAATGAACTGCTGGGAGCTGCGGCCTGCGATGCCCACCTTCCCCATCGAGGGCCTGGGATGGAGCATGGCGGCACCCTCACCCCTACTTCCTGCTAATGCAAACTGCACAGAGTTCCCAACTCCAGCCCGGCCCAGCCCCGGCTGCTGTGGGCATGTGGGGAGTGAACCAGCAGATGGAACTCGCTCTGCCTTTCACATAAAATCATCACCGAGGCTTAACCTCCAGGCAGACCCCTCCCCACAGCCCGCGGGTGTAGCCCAAGGCCATCTGCCCTCTGTTGCCCCCCCAGTCTCACAGCAGGGAGCTGCCTCCTCGCCCTAGTCCTGGCCCACACAGGGCATGAGTCAAGTGGTGTCCTTAGGACGGCCACGTTGTCCCTGCTGGCTGCAACGCAGACCTGAGGGCTGCACCTTGTGCTGAGGCGGAAGCCACGTGTCAAAGACGACACTGGTGAGAGCCCCAGTGGCGACTTCCCTCCTGTCACCTGCAGATCTCCTACGCGGCCAGAGTGGCTTTTGGCTGAGGGTGTGCCTGTCGCCTGCTGGCAGCCCCCAGGGTGCCCTCCCTCACTTCCACAGGCCCGGGGAGGGCGGCAGCAAGCAGTTCACTCACTGGCCAGGCAGAACCGGAGGCCAAACCCAGGTCCTGCCGTGGGCACGGCTCCGGTCCTGTGCCCGTGAGCCTGAGGGCTGAGGACCAGGCCACAGGGAGCGACAGTGCCAGGCGCCACTGCACAAACACAGAAGCCAAGCAACAAGGACACCAGGGTGCAGCGGGGAGAGCAGGTGGATGGAGGCGAGCGGCGCCAGGCCGCGGGGACCCTGAGCTGCCCGCGCCCACGCCCAGGTGTGGCCTCCAGGTCTACGCCACGCTGTTTTTGTTTAATTCTGAAGCTGGGAACCGAGAACTCAATCCAGGTCTCTCAGGCGGGGGTCGGGACCCCTTGGCCTGAGCCCTCATCGCAGGAAGCCAGTCAGGAGCGTGGGCTGGGCAGCACACCCGGCCACTCTGGTTACGGCTTTTGAACTCAACAGCTCGTCATTTTTCAGATACACCTTGAATTTCATTATGGTCAAAGGCTTAATGCTCTATTCTTTAAAAAAAACAAAAACACATTTATTTGAAAGGCAGTTAGTGAACAGAAGCAGAGAGGTCTTCCCATCCTCTGGTTCACTCCCCAAATGGTCGCAATGGCCAGAGCTGCCCTGATCCAAAGTCAGGAGCCAGGAGCCTCTTCCAATTCTCCCGTGCGGGTGCAGGGCCCCAAGCACGTGGGCATCCTCTGCTGCTTTCCCAGGCCACAGCAGGGAGCTGGATTGGAAGTGGAGTAGCCGGGCATGAACTGGCGCCCATATTGGATGCTGGCGCCACAAGCGGCGGCTGGACCCGCTATGCCACAGCGCCGGCCCCTTAATGCTCCACTAACCAGCATCTTAACCCCAGGCTAAGCACCTGCTGCAAAGGTGGTGGGTTCTGTGAAGAAATGCGAGTGTCCACCCCAGTGCGGCCGGAGCCACTGTTCCAGTCTGCCCCACAGCTGGGCGGGGCTGCTCGGGCAGGCCCTGGCTGGGAGGCCCACCCTGCGACCTCTCAGCTGCCCACCCCAGGAGCCCCCCTGCGCCAGGGCAGGTGGAGCCTGCAGCCACGCTCCTGGGGTCCCTTCTCTGTCCCACGGTCTGCCCTCAGGACACAGCTGGTCCCCTCTGCAGTCCTAGTGCTGGGGCCCAATGGCCTCTGCTGACCAGGGCACGACCGGAGATTCCCATGCTCCCGCCCCCCAGGACTCAGCTGGGAGAGCTCTGGAGCCACAGCTGAAGATCCACCTGGAAAGGCGTGAAGACACAGCGCTCCTGCAGACCACAAGGAGAGACTTCTCGGAGTGAGGGCCGGGGACGCGCGCTTGGTGCAGCGGGAAGGCGACGCGCGGGGCCCTCACAGCCCAAACTGGCCCCACCGGACTCCAGCAGCAGGTACGGCTCACACACCTCGGTCTCTGCCCCCGGGAGACCAGAATGGAGTTCCAGCTCCAGGCTGTGGCCTGGCCCAGGCCTGATCGCTGCAGCCATTTGGACAGGGAACAAGTGGATAAAAGCCCGATTCTCTCTCAAATCAAGTGAAAATAAGAAAACTGTTTTATTAAATGTTTTAAGGCAACGATTAGACTTCTTCGTCGGGTTCCACCTGGAGCCGCTGGAAGGCGTCCGCATCTGGGGAGGGAGGAGGGCACTCCAGGACCCGAGTCTCAGCAGCAAGGGCAGGACGTCACCTGCCCGGCCCACTCTCGGCGCTGGCCGCCAGCCCTCAGGGCCCTCACTCCAACAGCACCTCCGGCCGCTCTCCCCACCACTTCCCCCGCGTGCGGTGCCAAGGCCAGGGACACACCAAGCACCAGACGCACGGCCGGTGCTTCACGTCCGGGGCGTCCCAGGCGGGGTACACATCGGGCAGCGCCGCCCCACACCTGGCTCAGACGGGCCCTCCGGCAGGTGGGGGCAGCCGCCTGCTCTCTCTGGGTTCAAACCGCAGCGCGGCCCTCGGGCTGTGCTGTCACCTCTGCAGCGGGGTGGCAGGGACAGCCAGGCTGAGCCAGGACAGGGCCCCCGGCTTCTGGGGGGCTCACTCCCCGCTGTGCCGGGCTCTGCCCGTCATCCGGCGGCGCTGTGTCTTGCTGGTGCGCGTGGCACTCGGGGGCTTCTTGGAGTCCTGACTATGCCGGGGACGCTTCCGCTTGACCTTCTTGCGGCTGTGTGCGTGCAGTGTCGCAGTGAGCGAGCAGATCCTAGGAGGGGACGCCAGGTGAGGCAGGGGGAGGGGACGCCAGGTGAGGCAGGGCCTCCGCTCCCCCTGGAGAGCCCACCCGGCCCGTGCAGGGGAAGTCAAGACGGGCCCCGAATGCTGGGCACGCCGGCCAGCAGGTCCCCCAGGAGAAGGCACCTGCGGTGGGCACTCTTGGGGCAGGGGGTTGGGGGGAGGCTGTTCCGGGTCCCCCAGGCGCCCGATGCCACCCTGGCAGGCCAGCCAGAGGGGCTCTGCCCCCCGAGTCACAGTGCCAGTCCCGAGGCGCAGGGGCTCACCGCTGAGAGAGCAGGGGGTCTTTGGACTTCCTGGGTAAAGCTCTGGTCGGCTTCTCCACGGACGGCGCCTCCTCCTTGGACTCATCCCCCGGCCCTTGCTAAAGGTGCACAACGAGGATGAGGGCTGTCACGGGAGGCGCGGGCTGAGCTCACCCGCGCACGCGGCCCTGCCGGGCAGGGGTGCAGGCTGGGCTCAGAGAAGGCCCTGGCCAGAGGCGCACCACGTCCAGCCAGCCGGCACCACGCGGGCAGAGCCACGTTTCAGAGCGCTCACTGCCTGCGCCGTGTCGCCGATCGGGGGGGCTCAAGCACCCCCGGGGGAGCGAACCAGCAGGAGCGGGCAGGGCACCAGGGAGAGAAGGCAGCAGCCGCAGGGCCCAAGGACGCGCCGGGCGCTGTAACCTCTGCGCCCACGCGTGCCCGGCTCACACAGCCTCGGCCTCAGCAGGCAGCACACGGGCCGGGCTCCCGCACCTGCTCTCCCGCCCCGTCACCCCGTCAAGTCCGCGCTCCACGCTGAGTGCTGGCTGCGCCCCGCCGTGGCTCAGGCCGCAGGCTGGGGGCCCGCCGCCCGCGCACAGACGCCTCGGTCCTGCGGCTCAGCACGCACGGGGAATCACCCCACACCCAGGCGCGGCGCCAAGCGATCACAATTGTCCTCGGCGCAACCCCATGTGCTGACCAAGAAGGCGCCGCCGGGCAGGAACCTCCCAAGCCCCCTCAGCGGCGCAGGGGTGCAAGCCGCCTCCGCAGGCCCCGGCAGCGGGACGCAGCGGGCCTGCAGGGAAAGAGCCCCGTGCACCGGAGGCCGGGCCTGGGCAGGACGCGCGCCCGCTCCCGCCTCCTGTGCCCCGTCTCCAGGGGCAGCGCCCTTCCTCCCCAGGGCTGGGACCCGGACCCACCTCGGGCGGCGACAGCCCGAGCAGCCGGGCCCCGGAGAGATCCAGGTCGCTGATGGTGGTCACGGTGACCGTGTGGTTGGGGTGGTCGTACTGCACCGACTCCGTCTTTGCCGTCACCAGCCGGTCCAGCTCGTCGGCCTCCTCTGCAAGGCGGGCACGGCGCAGGCTTTGGCCAGGCTCCGGCCTCCCGCCAGCTGCCCCAGGGCCGGGCCCGCAGGTCAGGCCACGAGAAAGCACTCACCCAGCGCCTCCTCCCTCTCCGCCAGCATCTTCAGGTATTCCTGGTGGCGCTGAAATCACACAGAGGGCAGCACGGTGTGGGGGGGGCGGCGAGGGGGCGGGGCGCGGAGGGCTGATCCCCCCCTCCCCCCCCCCCCCCCCCCCCCCGCCCACCCGCAGCTCGGCCACCCCTGCAGCCCGCTCCATTAGGCCGGAGGAGGAGGCCGCGAGTCCCCAGGGAACAGACACGCACACGCGTGCACGCACGCACACACACACGTGCACACACACACTCTCCCCCGCCCCGCCCCCACCTCCTCCCGCAGCTTCCTCTGCTCCTCCTTCAGCCGCTGCTGGAGCTCCTGGATGGCCGCCCTCTTGCGCTCCACTTTGCGCTTGTGGAAGCCGGTCAGGTACTCCCTGCACCAGGACAGGCGACAGTCAGCAGGCCCCCGGGGAGACGGGCGCGCGCTGCCCACCGAAAACCACCAGCCAAGGCCGGCTCGCTCCAGCGACGCGCACGCACGGACTCCCGCCACGCCCCGCAGGGATCGGGCTCCGCCTCACAGCGGGGGACACTCCGACACAGAGTGTGGCTTCGGGGGACGGGGGTCACTGCCCCTTCCACCATGGCCAACTTCGTCACTCAGTGAATGAAGCCACTCCCGGCAGAGCTGTCAAGGCCACCCTCCCCCGACCTCCAGGAACCTTGCCCCAGGGCATGCGACCCCGACCCGCCCGGCACGGGCTGGTGCTGCCGCCCGGGGTGGGGGGGGTGGGGGTGCCCCAGCGCCGCCCCCTCATTTCGCGGGTCGGCTACCACGTGGCGGCCAGTGAATGAATGGACGTCAAGCCGCTCGCGTCCCACGGGCTCAGGACGGTCTACGATGACGCTGCCGGGCCAGGGCGGTCCAAGCCACCGCCGCGAGAGCTAACGCGCGCCGGGCCGCGGGCGCCCTGGTCACGCCCCGGGGGTGCGGCCCGGAGGGTCCTCCGCGGGAGCGCGCGCCAGCCGGACCCGGCTTTGGCGCCGGCGGGCAGCTCGAGGGGCGCCTGGCTCCGCCCGCACACTCACCGTCGCTTCTCCTCGTCAAAACTGAGAACGAGCCGGGGCCGGCGCTCGTCGCCGTTTCGCTTCTTTTTCTTGTTGCGGCCCATCGCGGCGGCGCCTCGCACGGCGCGGCCTCCTCCCGGCCGAGACACTTCCGGGTGCAGCGGCCGCGGCCTTCCGGGCGCGCCTCGTGGCGCGGCTCCACCGTTCCGGCCCGCCGGGCCCCGCCTTTTAAAGGGCCCGCATAGCCCCCGCCTTCTTTGAAAGGGACCGCGCTGCCTGGTACCTCTTTGCTGCCTGTGAAACGTCCCATCCCAGCTGCCCCCACCAGACCGGCTCCAGGCCCCCCCAGCCCAAGGCCTCATAGCCTAGGACAGTGTCTCCCTGCGCGGAGTGGGTGCTCGATACTGAGTTTTTCATGAATGACCACAATTTTGGTTCTGACGTCGACTCCGGGGTCTCAAGACCAGCCTCACTTCCTGCACTGGAACGCAGGCGCCCCACCGGCAGCCTCGCTGTGCCTCAGTCCCGCTGTCTGTCAAAGTCGCTGGGCGCCACTCCAGAGTCGGGGACTGGGCAGTTTTGGGGTGGTTCCCAGGATTTCCATGTCCAGCGAGTTCTCACGGGTCGCTGAATGGACCAAACCTTGAGAGCCACGACTGTGGCGAGTAGTTACGCGAGGTGCCTCCAACATCATGTGTGCCGTGGACGTGTTTGCTGTGCACCCCAGCTCCTCCCTCCGTGCCTCAGTTTCTCCAGGGTGGAGTGGGAGCGTGAGAGCCTGTGTTTGCTGAAACCAAGGGCATGGGTGTGCACCCTCTGAGACACCTACAGGGGATGTCTGGGGGTGGGGCTTGGGGGGGGCCCTGTTCTGGGATCTGCAGGCACCACTTGCAGGGGCAGGGCGATGACCGAGGGAGCCCGTGGACGATGCCTCTGTAGCGTGCTCAGGAGCCTGCAAGAGCTGAGGGCTGGCCACAGGGTGCCCTGGAACCAGTGGGCCCAAACTTCTCCTCTGGACAGGCTAAAGCCCAGGCAGCGGGTAAGCACACGCGTGTTGAGTGCCTGCTGCGGGCCAGATACACAGAGAGGGAAGTGTTTCTTCAGCGACCAGAAGGGACGGTGATTCGGCTGGGACTTGAACCTGGGTCTCCGGCCTCCCCACGCAGCTCCGTGGGCTGCCGGCCTGACTGGTCACCGACCCCCAGTAGCCAACAGGGCCCGTCTGGTGGGCAGGCTGGAGGCCCTGGCTGTGAGTTCTGGAGGGAGCCGGGGTCCCTGAGGGTGCAGCAGGCGCTGATGTAGAGTTCGTTCCTCTACAGTGCTCGGCCTGGGGATTCCACTCCTCAAGCTACAGGTCCCCCCTTTCATGGCAGGGGGCTGGAAACTGCCCCCAGCCCCCGCCCCCACCCCCGCCCAGCCGCTTCTGCCCCTGCTGGCCATGCCGCAGTGCTGCCCTGGGCACCCCCACCCCGGGTAGCAGCATCGCCTGCCGCCCCCAGGGTCTCCAGGCTGCCTCCTGCTCCAGGTACCGCCATCCCACACTCCGGCCAGGGTGGCTTCCAACTCAGATTTCCCAGGCAGAGCGCCCAAGCCTGCCCAGGGCATGGCCAGGCTCCTTGTCCCAGGAGAGGGTGCGAGGGACCGCCCACCACCCTCGGTAGACTGCTTGCTTGGTTTCTCCTTGAAATTACTGTTGGTTGAGCTTCTACCGTGTACCAGGCACTGCAAGAGACGGCACCGACCCGGCAGCCGGGACCCCAGCGGGGCCGCCGTGGTCCCCTGCTGAAGTGCCTGGCCCTGCCCCTGCCTTCAGCTTTGTGGTGGCGACAGCCGTGATGACTCCAGTGACCCGCTTCTAACCCCCACGCGTGGGACCTAGCAGATGGGCGCTGTCTCGCCTGCCTCTCGAAAAACAAAATTAAAAAGGTGCCGGCACAGGAGGTTCTGTGAATAGAAATGGTGATAAAGGGCCGGCGCCGCGGCTCACTAGGCTAATCCTCCGCCTAGCGGCGCCGGCACCCCAGGTTCTAGTCCCAGTCGGGGCGCCGGATTCTGTCCCGGTTGCCCCTCTTCCAGGCCAGCTCTCTGCTGTGGCCAGGGAGTGCAGTGGAGGATGGCCCAGGTGCTTGGGCCCTGCACCCCATGGGAGACCAGGAAAAGCACCTGGATCCTGGCTCCTGCCATCGGATCAGCACGGTGCGCCGGCTGCAGCGGCGGCCATTGGAGGGTGAACCAACGGCAAAGGAAGACCTTTCTCTCTGTCTCTCTCTCTCACTGTCCACTCTGCCTGTCAAAAAAAAAAAAAATAAGAAAAGAAATGGTGATAAAGATAACACAGAGAGGCTACTTTGGGTGAGGATTTCTTCAGGGCTGGGCTCAGAGAGATGCAGTCACTCGAACCTGGCTGCCCAGGCCGCTGGGACACACTGAATCTGGAAAGGCGCGAGGGAGCCAACGTGTAGCGCGCCCCTGCCACGCGCCGTGCGCCCTGCAGGGCTGCGCATCACCCCAGCAAATGCTCACCGCCCCGCACGGTGGCTGCTCAGATGCACTGAGCTGGACCTAGAAACAGGTTCGGAGAGGTTGAGTAACTGGTCCAAGGAAACACAGGTCTGTCTGAGCCCAGGTGGCGTCTCTCCCCTGCCCGGGATCATTCCTCTTGCCTGCTGTAGCCCTGCCATGGCGAATTGTGCTTGCTCTGCCAGGGAGGTAGGGACAACCAGGGATGGACCACCGTGAGGTCCTAGGACGGGCAGCCCGGGGCACTCTCTCCGATGCCCAGCAGAGGGCGCCCTCCACAGCCGGGCGCGCTTTCCCTCTGGGTGGCCGGGAGGGAGCCCCCAGAGCTCGGTACTCTTTGGCTCTCTCACGGAGATGGAATCATCCTCCCCATGGCCTCCGTTTGTGGGCGAGGAAACCGAGGCTGGAGGGTGTAAGAAGCCCACCCAGGCCCCCACCCCTCCGCGGCGCACGCGCTTTCAGAGGGAGAGACCCGTTGCGCCCCACCCCGCCTACCGTGCCCACGTGGGGAGCCTGCGCGCGGGGATCGAGTTCTGAGCCTTCCAGAACCCGGGCCCAGTTCCCGCAGGTGCTGCCCACGAGGGAGGGGCCCCGGGAGGGGCGGCGGCAGCAGGAAGGGAAAGAGGGCGCCGTCAGCCTCCGGGGTGCCCCAGCATCCGCTCGCGTCCCCGCGTTTGGAGACCTCCTCTCCCGGTGAGTGTGTCACTCACACTCCGTCGCCAAGTGCAGTGGTGGCCTCGAAGTCAGCACCCTCTGCCCCTCGGTTCTCTGCAGGGCTTCATAGCCCCTCCCCCAGTTCTCGCAACCACAGACACGGGGTGGGGGGCGTGTCGGCACCATCACACACGCCCTCATACCCGTTGCTGAGATGGGTGGACCTGCCCAGGAACACGGAGCCAACGGTTTGAGCCCCTGCGGGCTCTCTGGGGCCTGCTTCAGGCTGGGGAGTCTCCCCTTTCCCCCTCCCCCGCCCATTTTTTTTTTTTTTAAAGATTTTTATTTGAAAGAGTTACAGAGAGGCAAGGCAGAGAGAAGAAAGTCTGCTATCCACTGGTTCACTCCCCAAATGGCTGCAACGGTCGGAGCTGAGACGATCCGAAGCCAGAAGACAGAAGCCAGGAGCTTCTTCCAGGTCTCCCATGCGGGTGCAGGGGCCCAAGGCCTTGGGCCATCTACTACTGTTTTCCCAGGCCATAGCAGAGAGCTGGATCAGAAGAGGAGCAGCTGGGACTTGAACCAGCACCCATATGGGTTGCCAGCACTGCAGGCAGAGGCTTAGCCCACTAAGCCACAGCACCAGCCCCAGCCGGGGGGTCTCCATCACCCGAGAGCCTGTCTCTTCCCCTGCAAATCGGAGTGATAACATCTCAATAGTGCAGGAGGGACCATGTTTGGGGCACTGAACTTTTTGATTTTTTTAAAAGATTTATTTATTTGAAAGGCAGAGTTAGAGAAAGAAAGAGACAGAGAGAGAGGTCTTCCATCCACTGGTTCACTCCCCTAATGAGCACAACAGCCGAAGCCAGGAGCCAGGAGCTTCTTCTGGATCTCACGCGTGGGTGCAGGGGCCCATGCACTTGGGCCATCTTCCGCTGCTTTCCCAGGTGCATCGCAGGCAGCTGGGTCAGAAGTGGAGCAGCCGGAACATAACCCGGGGCCTACATGGGATGCTGGTGCCGCAGGCGGAGGCTTAGCTCACTACCCCACAGCACCGGGCCCTTGGGGCACTGAACTTGGCCTTCATGAGACACCCCATTCAGTATCCACAGCCACCCAGTGACGGGAACGGACGTTACCCCTGCTGGTGTGCTGGTGAGAAACCGAGGCTCAGAGAGGCGCGCAAATGTGCACCAGGCCACCCAGCAGGCAGCCCCACCCCTCTGCCCTGGTCTTTGCACAGGCAGCGGACCCAAGGCCCCGGGTTCCTTCCCTGCACCTCGCTCTGGCCTGCCCTGGTCCCCTCTGCGGGCAGTAGGCTGCCTCGGCCTCTGTCCTCCTTGGCTTCATTGTTAGGGAGCATCTTTTGAGCACCTGCTGTTTGCTGGGGCCCACTGGGCCGGGAGCAGTGTGAGGGCAGGGAAGGGGGCCCACTCTGTTAGCACTGAGCCCCCTCTGACGTGGCCCAGGGGTACCACGTATCAGAGGGGGTGACTGAAAGTGAAGGAGGCAGCTGGGCGCGGGGTGGGGGGAATGCCCCTTACACACACACACACACACACACACGCGCGCGCGTGTGCACAGGCGGGTTCAGGGTGCAGAGGCAGCTGCCTTTATTGAGAACCGCGAGCCTGCAGGCGTCAGTCGATGGTCATACACTTGACCTTGAAGTCGTCACTGGTGTGCAGGTAGTCGATGGTCTCTAGGTTGAGGCGGTTGGGGAACTTGAACGTGTGCCCGTCCGGGAGCTTGATGAGCAGATCCTCTTTGTTAAAGGAGAAAGTCACCTGCGGGCGGGAGGGCAGTGAGAGGGGTCGGATGGGGGCGGGGTTCAGAGAGGGGAGGGGCTGCCCCCCACCCCGCCCCGCCCCGGAGAGCCCTCGCCCACCTCGGCCACGCTGCCCGGCTGGAAGGGAAACGCCTTCTCGCGGTGCTCCACGCCCCAGACGCCCTTCTCCTTGCTGTTGCACACGATGGTGTTGGTGTCCCCTTGGGAGTTGAAGCGGGGGTT